AATGAGATTATCTCAACTGTTTATTTTTACTCATATATTATTTAAATTCACTTTATTTATAAGGATTATAAATTTGAATTCAGATATTCAAATCTATTATTTAATTTACTTTTTAATTTGAGATAAATATTAAACTACATATTAATTTTAGCCAAATGTGTATTGATATGCTATATATGTTTTAAAATCTAATAATAAAAAATTAAATAATTTAATGAATATAAAAATGTAAGTAAAATAACTGAAATTTAAATATTTTACAAAAAGTATTTAGTAAAAAATATAGATTTACAAATAGATTTAAAATAGATTTGCAATTTTATTTATAAAAAAATATTATTTTTAAATAACATGTACTAAAAACAAAAATATTCAAAACATATTTTAAAAGGAAAATTTGGTTGAGGTCCATTGAATGATCAATTAGTCAAGGATGTTCATATTGTCTCATATTATATGGATTTGAATCTTTTTGTTAAAAAATAGTGGTGATGCTGATGTGTTATTATGAGGTAATGTCATGTCAACATTAAAAATAATAATAAAATGTCATGCTGATATCAGTGTTAATTTTTTAATATTGGGTGACCAAAACAGAACTCAAACGTAACCATAAGTATAATTTTGAAACAAAATAATAGTTTGGTAACCAAAAAAAATTAAGTAATAGATGAGTGACTAAATAGATAGTTTACTCTTAATTTTATATTGATCATCCATTTCACTTGAACGAAACATTAAAAAATAAGAAAAAAATATTTTTCGGAAAATCAACTACAACCGTTACCCTTTATACATTCTACAAGCAACAGTTACTTTGCTCTTATATTTGGGCAACCAAATGAATATCATTACTAAGTTGTTATTGTTGTGCCCTTTCATTTATTTATTTATTTTTAAAAAATTTCAGGCAGTGAAGATGAAGGGAAAATGAAAGATCTAGGCGAAAAAATGGTTGAACGTTGTGCAGGGTTGCCATTAGCCATTGTTGTGCTGGGAGGAATTTTGGTGACAAAAGATTCAGTAAATGAATGGGACAAGGTGGTCGAAAATGTGATACCCTACTTGAAGAGAGGCAAAGGCCATGGAGTGGAAGAAGTGCTGGCATTAAGCTATGACGATTTGCCATACTACTTAAGGCCATGCTTTTTGTACTTGAGCACTTTCCCCGAAGATTTTGTGATACAAGTCGATAGACTGATTCAACTATGGGTTGCTGAAGGTATCGTTTTATCAGAGGAAGAAGATGGAAATGAAGGGCGCATAACAGAAGATTTGGCAGAACGTTACTTACTCGAGCTTGTAGAAAGGTGCATGGTTCAAGTACGAGAAAGAGACGTCGCAACCTTAAAGATCAAAACAGTTCAAATGCACGATCTCATGAGAAATCTTTGCTTGTCAAAAGCAAAACACGAAAATTTTCTCTGCGCTGTTGATCAGTCAAATGCATGTTCCATTTCCACAGTACAAAGGATCCATAGAGTTTCTGCAACCAATGTTTTGTGGATACAGCGCATTAAAAGTCCAAATCTTCGGTCACTTGTGTTCTTCAATGAGCATTCACCGGGTTACGAGTTTTTTAAAGAGATGAAGGTATTTAGAAAACCGGTGCCCCGGAAAATGCTTGATTACATGGAAAAACATGAAATCCGAGATGAAAAGGGATGTCTCTTTTATTCAATTGGAGCATACTTGATCTTCTTTGTGATCCTTCCTAAATTCCATGGACTTTTCACATACATGATCAACAATTTCAAATTGCTGAGAGTCTTTACCTATGAAGGAAAAGCTTCTTCTAACCTGGGAGTATGCAAGTTATCAAGTGATATAGGTAGTCTCGTCCATTTAAGATTTTTGAGTCTAAGGCGTATTAACTACCTTTTTTTACCATCATCTCTGGGCAACTTGAGATGCTTGCAAACCTTGGATTTAGGAAATGGAGTTTTAGTACCTAACGTGATATGGAGGATGGAGCAACTAAGGCATCTATATCTCCCTGAGGAATATAGAGTTATAAGAAAGTTGAAGTTGGGTACTTTGAGAAACCTCCAAACACTCGTGAACTTCAACACCAATAATTGTTACCTAAAGGATCTCAGCAACATGACAAATCTTAGAGAGTTGGAGATTTGGGGGGCGTTCGAGATTGAAGATTTTAATGCGGAGGACCTGCACAAGAATCCACCCATCATCCAGAGTAAATATCTTCATTCCTTGTCCATTTTCAATGATAAAGGAAGAATAGATCCAAGACATTTGAATCACCTTCTTTCCAGCTGTGTTTGTATCTGTAAGTTGAGTTTAGATGTGGAGATAAAAGAGTTACCACAGTACGACCACTTGTCTTTAGAACTCGCTTACATAAAGTTAAGAATGTGCAAGATTGGGGAAGATCCAATGCCAATACTAGAGAAGCTGCCTAATTTGAGGGTTTTGGAATTGCATGAGGAAGCTTTCACCGGAAAGGAGATGTTTTGCTCTGCACAAGGTTTTCCTAAACTTGAGTCCCTAAGCCTTAAAGATCTCGATCATTTGGTGGAGTGGAAGGTTGACCAAGGAGCCATGCCGTGTCTTCGACAATTGCAGATAGAATGGTGCAGAGGGCTGATGATGCTTCCGGGTGGACTGAGGTTCGTTACAACCCTCCAACAACTGAAGATTGAAGGGATGCCAAAGGAATTCAAAGAAAGAGTGGAGGAAGGAGGAGAGGATTTCAACAAAGTCCAACATGTTCCTTTTATCACACTCAAGGGCTGTGACGACTAGTAATTATGATTATTGGCAGGTGATTTCATAGACTTGCTTATATATAGAAATGCTTAATCCTTTTATATTAATTCAGAACTATACATTTTGCATATTTAGATCCAAATGAAACATGATTCATAGCAGCTGCAACTTTTTCCTAAATCTCTGACGTTTTCTTTCCATTTGCTTAGATTTTCTCCTTCCATTTTATATATGATATGTATTAATAATCAAATGAAGTTCCATTGGTATCTTCAATATGACGTGGCATTTTTTTTTCTTGTACAGGGAAAGAAGGCAATTGTATTGTGGAATGGAGATGTAAAATAGTGTTGTTATTTGTGGAAGCTGGTGTTATATAGTATGATAACTGTAGCATGTTGCATATGGTTTTAGTATGCAATTGGTTTGATATTTGTCATATATATGATTGCAGAATATTCTCAATCTAGTTTCGAGTACAGACTTGTGTTTTGTAATCACGTTGTGAATATCGGTATATTGCACTCTTTTTCCTCCAACTAGGACTAAGGAGGTTTTTTAACGAGGCATGTACTTTTGCACCATTTCATAAATATAAGTTCTCTCTTGTTTCAAATATATATATATTCTCAATCTAGTCTTATGCTACTTGAACATTTTGCTTAGCAAACTAATGCATGATAAATTGTCGAAAGAGTAGAGTTTGAACCCTTTTTCCACAAGGATAGAGAGTTGGGGTAAGAGTTGTTTAAAAAACAAAGATCAGACCAGTGACGGATTCAAAAAAAAATTGAGAATGAAGAGCTGTCACTACTAGAGAATTATGATTATTGGCAGGTGATTTCACAATCTTTATTACATTAATATATATATATATTAATAATCAAATGAAGTTCAATTGCTATCTTCAATATGAAATGAGATGTAAAACCGTGTTGTTATTTGTGTAAGCTGGTGTTATATAATGTCGTAACCGATTTTCAGTTGGGGAAAGACTGATACGACTTTTTTTAAAAATCATATTATGAAAAGATATAGAGTCGCCATCAATCATTTTTAAAGTGCGATTAGAATACTTAAAATCAAGTAAATTTAATAAAACATTTTATTTTATCAAAAACACCAAGTTTTGGAACGGACTTGTATGCTGATCATCGGTTATTATTTGTTATACTAATATATTTTTAAATCTGATGGAGGAAACAACATTCTAAAGGATATTGAAAACAAAGTCGACTAAATAATTAGGAAGCAATGCAGAGAAAATCAGGCCTCATTGATGAACAACAACGGAAAAGAAATGGAGAAATCCAATATTAGTAATTGAATGATCAACGGTGGCGTAGACAGTGTAGGGCAAGTTCGATGTTCGGATTGTGGCGTCAGAACATCTCGATGACGATGATAAATTACCATCACGTCAGGACCTCCGGTTAGAAGTAAGAAAGTCTCTTATATCAGTGAGTTGTTAAGGTTATTTGATTGGACATGCTTGCTTCTTCTTTAATTGCCTACATGCTTGATGGCTTAAGAGTTAAGTTGAGCCTTGTTAAGGGTATTTGTAAGGCTGAGCGTTTAATCGAGTCGAGTGAAAAAGATTTTAAGTTATTCGAGTTGACGAGTCATATTTTATAACTTGAACTTGACTTGAGATTTCTTCCAATCAAGTCAAGTTGAATTTTCGAATTTCTATTTAAATTTAAATTTAATTATAAATATTTATATATTATGATATTATTTATTCTAATTTTAATGATTTTTTAAACCATATACAATATATGTCTATATATCTTCATATATCATACAGAGTTGAGGGACTAGACTCAAACTTGAAAATCAATCCACTAAATACTAAAAATTTCAAGTTATTCGAGTTGTATTTTATAACTCGATTGCACTTGAAATTTTTTCGCGTCAAGTCCAATTTATGAAATTACAACTTATAGTCAATTCAAGTCAAATTTTTTCGAGTAGAGTCAAAAAGATTGATTTTTGAATCGAGCCGAGTTTTTCTCACTCCTAGGTATCTGATGTCTATGTAGGTGCCATGTTAGTGGTTTTTAGGTTTTAGCATCGATACATTGATTGTATCGTAGGAATTAACACATAATTTTATGTCAGAGGACGAATTTATAAAATTATAAGGGATGAGAATAGATTTTTAATGAAGAAAATATAAAGAAGGCTTAAATTACTTGAAATTTCCGAGAGGAACAATCACTCCTATCGTTATGGCAGTGTCACTGTCAAGAATGCATTTAGGGAAAGTTATTCGCCTTGCAGCCAAGATTATTGAGAAAATGATCCTTTACAATCTTGACGCCGCAACGCCGGTTATCTTGGACTGCTGATACCGGCGATAGAACCGAACCAATCCATCTTTTGGAGGCAAGTCATGGTGGATGAACTCCACAAAGTCGGTCTTCCATCGAGCGAGGAAAGGATGGTTTCGAGAGTCGAATACGTGGACGTCGAGGACTTCCTCGATGGCTTCCATCCAATTGGTTATTATGCTCAAGGCCATGTCGACTAACCCTATCGTCTCTCCCCCGAAGAACCTTTTGCCCTTTGCCTTCAATTCCATTTCCAGGGTCGCCAACGCCTTGCTTGCCTGCTTCGCTTCCTCTTCCATTTGCGCCTTGTCCGTTAAGCTTAAGAGTTTGGTCAGAACTTCAGTTATCTATAATGTATATATAGCAAAATAAGAATGTGCAGTTTAACTCAATCGATTCATAGTATCATCGTTAAAAGATGGCATCCAATGACCTTGAATCTAATGTTTTTTTAGGTAAATGTGTATTTTGGTTCTTGAATTTGACTCCAATATTCAATTTGGTACTTAAACTTCTCCTATTAGTTCAATTTGGTAAAGTATACGAGAGTCACTAAGTTATGTCAAAATGATCTTCGGATCAGTAAATTTTTCTTAATAGTCTTGAGTGATTATAAGTTAATATTTGTTTATAATTTTTTAACTTATTAACAACGTTCTCTTTTTACCAATAAGGCTACTTATTGTTATAAGATGATCATTAAATTTATTAAATTGTTACAAAATAAATATTGTAATATTTAATAAATTTTGATTAGTTTAAAGACTATTTTGTAATAGTTTAATAAGTTGAATAATTATTTTATAATAATTTAAAAATTTTAATAATTATTTTATAATGACTTGACCGAAAAGATCAGTCTCTTATAATTCAGTAACTCGTATTTGAAAAAAATGAAGCAAAGGGTAGTGATTCATATAAATATACCTTTTGGTCTACGAAATTTGCCCAGAATCGAGCCATTGCTCTCTCATATGGATCAGAAGGCAAAATGGGGTTTCTTCCAAGTCTCGTCGACGTACTCGACGATCACAAGCGACTCCACGACGGGTCTTCCCCGGTGGACGACTACCGGGACTCTCTTCGTCATAGGGTTGTGTTTCAAAAGCGATCGGCTCCTGTTTTTAGGGTCTCTAAAGCTTAGCTCCACCCATTGGTAGTCGATTCCTTTGATCTTCAACGCCCACACCACTCGTTGAACATATGGGCTAAACCATATCCCCAACAGCTCCACCTCCTCGCCATTGCCATGGCCGCCCACTTGCTTCATTTGCTATGATTTTGTGTGTGTGATACAACCGGAGTGGAAGATGATAATAATTCATCCTTAAGCCAGCCATAAAGTATGTTGTGTAGACTGTTTATTTTCCTAATATGAAAAATATGTCAATGGGGGACAATTTGTCGTATATATTGTTGAAAAATTATATATTATATAATTTATTCTCGATCTCCAATTTCGTTATTAAGATATAATACGATTAAATACATTTAAACTCACAACGTTTAAGCACATGTGATTGTCCATCAAAATTTGTGATGGGCAATCACATGTGCCATCATGCGGGATGAAACATGGTGTGTTTTTTTTTGTTACAAAAGGGGGTTTACTGTACTAATAGTGTCTGGGTCTACTTCTCTGAGTAGATTTGTCTAGAGTGAGAATGCTTTGGATTTCCGTAGGAGGCTGCTGTAAGATCGACAGTCTGAGATTCGCCGAACGCCCAAGACACGCCAAGGCATCGGAAAGTCCGTTGGTTTCACGAGGGCTATATCCAATCGTGAGCCTCCATTGCAAACTGATGTGGCTTCGGATTCTTCTGATGATTGTTGACTCGTTTGCCTGAGCAGGAAAGTTGAACCTACGGACCGCTTCAAGATTGTTCATCTCCACTTCCAACTGTCGCACGCCATGGTTCCAAGCGATGCCAAGGCCATCGAGTAAATCCCGTAGCTCGGCTTGGAATGAAGAACATCGACCAATATTCCTGACATAACCTATTATTCATTCGACGTTGCCATCACGAGGAGGCCTCCCCCAGATGTCTCCATCGTAGTTTGGTCCATGGCATCGTCTGTATTAAGCTCAACCACTCCTATACTTTGAGGATTCCAGTAGCCTTTTTTCCTGCCAGCCCTACTGTCGGTTTTAGCCTTGTCCTGATTATTCTTGATAGTAGTAGTCCACGCTCTAGTCGATTGTATGATTGTCACCGAGGACCAAATTCAAAGCAGTTGTGACGTCTGTGTTTGGCAAGGTTGGTATGAAGGCATTCAAGTAGTGGGGCAGAGAAGAAATCCGCGGACAACTGGTTCGAGTAGAGCGGTAAATGAGACAAGACAGATCGCGAGCTATTCGAGATCGACTCGATCAAGGCTCGATAAATACTCGGATTGAATGGACTCGAGTCGAGCTCTTAACGAGCCGAAACGAACTACTTGATATTCGACTCGAAAAGCTCGTGAGCACCTCGAAAATATAATATATTAATATTTTATTTTTTAAAAAATAAATTATTAATAATATTAATTTTTATGTATTGATTTTTTTTTAAATATAATAAGATTTTCATGTATTTAATGTTCAGGTTCGAGTTTGAGGCTTCAATCGAGTTAAGATTAAGATTTTTTTTTTCATTTCGAACATTTTCAAACTGTTCACGAGCTTAAAAGTTTCAAGTTCGCAAATTTTTGAGTCGAATCAAACTCCATTTCAAAATTTTTAAGTCGAGTCGAGGTAGACTCTCGTTTACACCCTAGGTTCGGGATTAGATATTCCCAAACGAAGCGAGCGTGGGGATAGTTCTAAATAATAGATTTACAAGGTTTTGCAAAATTAAAGAATTAAATTTATTAAATATCTTTAAATTAAGATCAAATTACTAGAATATATCAATTTTGAGAATTAAATATATTATTATATCAAGATCAAATTTATTTTTAAAATGAAAATGGGTCCAATCTTGGGATTATAGTCTAAATTGTTTTGAAATTTAATTTATATTTTTAAGTCAAACTTTTTTTTTTACAAATAAATCACTTATTTTGAAGATAAAAATATACATTTATGATTTTTTTTTTCAAATTTTAATCTAATTTTACTTTTATTTAGTGTGCACTTTATTTAAAATTATTTTAGGATAAAATTACGTAAATTGTTTCTCGACTACATGGTATTACTTTGTTGAGTCCTTTAACTATTAAAAATTACAAAATAATCATTGATTAAAGAACGTTGCTTTGTTGAGTCCCGACTATTAAACTTTACAAAATGATCACCCGACTATTCATATGTTCCAAACTCGTTCTTTTCCGTTAAAAAGTTGACGATAGTCTGAGCTGAAAGTTAACCTGTTGACTATGATATGATAAAATACGATCTCGAATATCAAACGACTACACAACTCAAACGATTATGGGATCATATTTTGTCATATCTCAATCAACATGTTAACGTTTAACTCAGACGACCGTCAAATTTTTATTAGAAAATGACAAGTTTGAAACATATGAATAGTCAGATGACCATTTAATAAGTTTTAATAATCGATGGACTAAACAAAGTAACATCCTATAATAATAGATCATTTTATAACTTCTAATAATCATGAGACTTAACAAAATAACATCGTATAGTCGGTAGACTATTTATATACTTTACGTTTTATTTTAATATATATTCAAATTATCAATCTCTTTATCTATATTTTATAATAACTAATTGATTATGAATTAATACAGTTGCGTATTGATTATAAATGTACGTATATGTAACAATGAATTGATTACAGTACAATGATAGTTATAAAGCGGAGAAAATACAGAAACAGTGGAGAGGTTTTGCCCACATTTTGAGAAAATCTAGTGAAAAAAGAGAGGTAAATTTATTTATTTATTTTAAGGATTCTAAGTTTTTTTAATTGTAATTTATGATCAGAGGTTTTTGATTCTGTAATTACCATTTCCAAGATTTCTTCTTCTTCTGATATCATCGATATATAAAGAGAAAAAGAGAGAGAGGAAAAAACACGTTTTTTTTTAATTTATAGATAAAAAGTTGATTTTTTTATTTGTTGCGGTGTATTGATTTGTATTTTCATGTTTATTTTGTGAATTTTTTTTGGGGGTCAGATTAACGGAGAAGATATCTGAAGTAGAAATTGGGGGAATCGAGATTGAATTTGGAATCGGGAACCTTCATTTGAGGTTAAATAGGGAGGGAGGGAGGGAGAATCCAGAGAGATAAAGAGAGAAATTAGTTTGATGTTCAATTTGCATTTCGATCGTTTGCTCGGCGATGGCGGCGGCGGGAACAGCAGCTGTTGTGGTGAGGCGGAAGGAGCGGCCTGTTGAGGAGCTTTACAATGCGACGGAGAAAACCTATGAACCAGGAACATGTACAATTATATTTTCTTTTTCTTTTTTTAATTAGGTTTTTGTTTAATCTTAATCAAATTAAACATTTGAATGTTGAATTCAGTTTTTCTTTTCGAATTTTAATTATTTGTGTATTGGGTTCAAATGTTTGATTCGTTTAAATTAGTTGTAGCATATGTGAAAATATTGTTAATATTTATCCTGAAATCTGCTGTATCAGTCCATTACTCCATTGTGATGTTGAATAGCCTAAGTTGGGAATTAGGGTTTTGGGTTCTATTTAGAAACTGAGTATATTTCTTAACTTGCTTGTTGTGCTTAATCGTGCCAAAAAATATGACACTGTTAGGCCTCTATGGAGTTTAGATGCTAGTTTTTGTTTATGTGGTTTTGTTACAAAATTAGATCACTTCTAGTGGAAGGGATTATATTCATTGAATTCTGTTTAATGATGCTTTATTTGATTCAGTTTGACGTGCTTTTTAGATCACACCTGTTTTAAGAGGGTTTTACTGCATTCAAGGGCCTTTGGATGAAATGGATCAGAGTGTTCAGAAGAATACAGTGAGAACAGGGTAATCTGCAATATATGTTCTTAACTTGCTGTTTATTTTTTGTTAATCAATTTTGTTAGTATAATGTTTTAAGTTCAAAGAAGAAAGAACATGTATTACTTTTAACGTTATGTTGTTATGGCTACCTTTAAATTTTTCTTCATGAAGTGTTTTGAGAACTACGAGGATGAAGAGATTGGAGGGAAGAATGAAAGAAAATTACTGTATTTTTCCATTCATACCATTTCTTGGACTGACTTAGAAATGGAATGCAATGCAAGAAAATGATGTACCTAGTACCTACTACTTCGTTTTTATCTGTCATCTCCAAATCTTTTTTGTTTTGCTGGATTCAAATATGATCACTAAGATAGCAAATGCACTTCATATTTTCCATTTTCTTAGTATTTTTAGTACCAAGAAAGAAAATTCTTATCATGCATGCACCTGTTTTCTCATGATGCAAATATAGATGAATCTTTTCAAACAGTTGTATAGCTGAGTGTCATGGAATGTTTTGAAAGTAGAAAAATGCAATGGAGTATAGCTGAATCTTTTCTTTCGTGATGGTTGAATAAAAAATATTTTCCTTTGGTATTAGTTTAGTTGCATGTGATATATTAAATGTATTTTGAGTCTGAACATTTGGTTCCTTCAAATTAGCTTTGGAATCCATGGAAATTTTGTGATATTCATTATTTGCTTTGCTTTTTTTTTTATCCTAGGTACCGAAAACTTTAAAAAGATTAATTAGGCAGTACATGAGCCAAAAGGATTGTGCAAAAGCAGAATCTGGAGTCTGCAACGTGTTCTCTGCTCCTTGTTCATCTTGTATGCACCTAAGCATAGCTCAGATGGGATCAAAGAGTGATGAGTTTTCTGATGAAACTGATCATGTTGCTGTTGCATGCCAGTATTCGATCAATGAGGATAAAACAGGTGACAGCTTATACCAAAGCCCCAGTGAGGCAAGTGATTTACTCGATGTCAATTCAAGCCATGATCCCTACTCTGAAAATTTAGAAAGTAAAGCAACGGCACGACCATCTTCCAAAGTTGTTGAAAGCCATGTTGATAGTATTGTATGTGCTGGTAGAGCCAGTGATGCAAATATAGCTTTTAGTTATTGTAACAAGGATTTAGACTGTAAGAATTCATCTCAAAGTCATAGCTCAGCAACAGTTCGTAGTTTAGGATGCGGAAAGGTGCCCTCTTCCCAGAAGTTAGACTTTTCAGAACTTCCTTCTATTAAGGAGGTTGATTCTGGCAGTAGTTCACCTAGGATCGAAATTCCATATTCACATTCTGGAAGCAGCAAGAGTGCTGTTGGAGGCAACAAACCTGAAATTTCTCCCAAAATCTATCCTAAGTTAGAAGCAGATATTGATGACAATAGTGAGGACGCACTATATAAAACTGGGAGAAGTTTGAAGGAAGATGAGCTAGATGAGTCTTTGAAGTTACCTGAAAAGCACAAGTCTCCTTTGGAAACAGCTTCTCTGGATGAGGGTTATGAGTCCGATGCCTCAGAACATGATGTAAGTAACTTTATGTTTTTCTTTATGAGACTGTATGAAGAAAGTGTGCATGCATGACTGAGACTCGAGTTTCGTAGGACCAACACTCTGAAAGTTGGTTGTTTAGCTTCATTTAGTTGATTTGAGAGTAAAGGTATTGAAAATACCATATTTTAATTGGTTTTCCATTTGCACTTGTAGTGGAGGTGCCATCCTAGGAGAATGTAAGTAGTGATTAAGATATTCTTGAACTTATTGTAAGGTTCTGGCGCAAGGCAGATCCCTCATTCTTTTAGGTGTCATTAAATGAATGTTTTAATGGGCAACAAGTGCTTTGAAAATGAATAGAAGGTCCCTAAACTTGTTAAGTGCCTAAACTTGTTAAGTGGTTTAAGATTAATAGATTATTAAGTGGGCTCCATCATAATTATATACTTAAAATAGAAGAGTTCCTTTCTTCTCTTCCTCGTGGGATCAGTACATCTGTTTTCATTTTCTCCCTTTTTCAAATTTATTATGCCAGTAAGTTTTTCTGATTTGTCTTTTCTTGTTTCCCGAATTTTCTGGAATAGGTTAAGGTATGTGATATTTGTGGGGATGCAGGACGAGAAGATTTGCTTGCAATATGTAGCAAGTGCACTGATGGTGCAGAACACACGTATGTGCACAAATCCCTTCAGCCATATGTGCATTTCTATTTAACTTTGTCTGTATCTATATTCAGTTGTGAGTTTTATGTTATTGATGCTATTAATCAGTTACTGTATGCGAGAAATGCTTCGGAAAGTTCCCGAAGGTGATTGGCTCTGTGAAGAATGCAAGCTGGCTGAGGAAACTGAAAGCCAAAGGCAAGGTTAGTTATCAAACAGCTGGAATAAAAATCACACCCAAGCAAGAGCATGTGCTGACATATTTTTGCAATTGAATTTCAAGGTTTGGATGCTGAGGTAAAAAAGGCAAAAAAACTTAGCTCAAGTACACGTATCTTAGGTAAGAGACATGTTGAAAATCTTGAGGGTGCTTTGGCTCCAAAAAGGCAGGCTGTTGAAACAAATATGGGATCACCAAAATCATTGAGCCCCAGCAGAGTATCTTCCTTGTCTCGAGAGGGTTCATTTAAGAACTTAGATAAGGGGAAAGTGAGGCCATTTCCGCAGATTTCTCTTGGCAACCATTCTGGTAATGATGTGCCAGAAGCTGTATCCTCTCCGAATTCTGCTCCACGGCTGCAAACACCAAAGAGTAAGTGAATTGATATTTCTGTCTAAATTCCCCCCCCCCCCCAATATGTTTTTTTAAGTTTTTAACAGTGGCATACTGTTCTCATTGTTACAGGGAGCTTATTGAAATGCAATTCATTCAACACTTTAAATTCCAAACCTAAAGTGAAGCTTGTAGATGAGGTTGTTCTTCAGAAATGTAAAAGTGCTAGAGAACATGCATCACTTGGTAGCAAGGAGGAACCTGCTAGAATGATTGGCAAATCAATGTCATTTAAATCCGGTAACTCTGGACGGTTAAATGCTGGGGAATCAAATTTTAAATTGCTATCATCTAAATATCCTCATGTTCAAGATCTGAAAGGATTAAATAACGTTAAAGAGCGGATATCATTAGAAAGGAAAAAAATCACGAAATTGGACCACTCTAGTCCTACCGTTGTGACGCCTAAGGTTGATCAGAAACTTACACCTCGTGCTGATGTAATTTCTCATTCATCTGCAATCAACCACCGGGAAACTAAGGCCGTTCAGTCTGATGGAAGACCAAATACTTTATCAAGATCAACTAGCAGTCTAGCTCGTAGAGGTGTCGGAAATGCAGTTTCTTCTGGTATGTTGTGAAGTTCTGATGGTGGGACTGCTATTTTCTTAAGTGTTAACTAAAATTAGAATGTTTTGTTATGTACTCTGCTTTTACCTTGTATTCTTGTTTTCTTTCGGCTGATTCCAGCAACTTAAGTGCATTCTTCTTATTTTGCAGTTGTTTCATCCACCAGTGGACGCATTTCTTCTGAACAGAAGTTAAACCATGTGAGCCTGAAGGAGGAAACCTCATTAAGTTCTTCACAGGTGTTTGAGAGGCAGCCTAGTAACATTAATGGAGTTATGTCAGATGCCCTTACTCAGTCAATCGATTCAACAAACCAGAGTGAGAAAACAAGGGAGAGTGCTGTTAGTCGATCCTCCAAAAGAGTTCCATGTCTAAAATGCAAAGAAATGGGTCATGCAGCTGAATATTGTTCAGTCTGTCTGGCTTCTGGTACTGATCAGTCTGCTCCTAGAACTTCTTCAGAGGTGATAAATAAAGGCAATAAGTTAAAAGCTGCAATTGAGGCAGCTATACGTTTGAAGCCTGGAATATGTGAAAGAACTTCTCAAGATCTATCACCAATTTGCAATAAGGAAAAGAATGTGATTTCTGTTGAAGATAAAGATGAAACACAAGCAAATATTTGTAATCAGGCTTCCACTGGTAGTATGAAGCTGCTTAATTCACATTCCACTGATGCTGTCTCTGTAGTTTCTTCTGTGGGCAATCTTTCAATCAGAGATATCCACGCCCCTCCTTTAGCCACAGTATCTGCTGTCTCAAAGATGTCAGCCATCCCAGAACATGAATACATCTGGCAGTAGGATTCTTGTCCTTCTATTTAACCGTTCTCTTTTTTGGTTAACATGATGCCCCATTTGGGTTCATTTTCATTTATTGCTTCAGCATACCCTTCCTTGAGATGTTTCTTGAATGTGATAGATTTTGTTACTTCTATGCAGGGGGGCTTTTGATGTGAATAAATATGGAAAACCTCCTGTGTTTTGTGGTGGTATTCAAGCCCATATCTCAACCCTTGCATCACCTAAAGTGCTGGGTGTTGTTAACACATTTCCCCCCAAAGTTTCATTGACTGAAGTACCTCGCTTGAGCACTTGGCCGACACAGTTCCATACTGGTAGTCCTAAAGAAGTTAATATTGCTTTATACTTCTTTGCCAAAGACCTTGAAAGGTAGATTTTGAATATACCTTCCCTGCCCTTCTCTATCCTTGTTTCTCTAGCTTGGGTTGATCATTAATGCAATTTCCGTGGTTCAGTGTTTTAAAATTTATTTCTGCTGCTTATTTTGCAGTTATGATAAGAACTACAAGATGCTTTTGGATAACATGGTCAAGAATGATCTTGCCCTCAAAGGAAATTTTGAAGGTGTTGAGCTTTTGATATTCCCCTCCAACCAGCTTCCTGAACATAGCCAGCGTAAGGATTTCAATTGAGATATTAAAATCAAGTGTAGTTCCCTGTAATTTTACATTTGGTTGGATTATATGCTTTACCCAAGATTCACAACAAGGAAAGGATAAAGGATATGTCTGTTTGACTGCACCACACTGGCTTTTTAGGTACTGATCAAGCTTGGTCATGGGGGCTAATTTTGATATTTGCAACTCCAAGTATAAATTGCTACGACTCAAAGATCTCAGTCCTTAACCATATTGCCTGGATATGGGAATTCCATGATATTAATAACCCCCTAATGTGATCTCAAACTTCTTAGATTTTTAGCATTGAACTCGGAAATATTGTGAGAAAAATCGGAGGGAACATTAGGAGGTTTGAAATGATATTGAACTCGGAATTTTTTGCATTTTCCCCTATACACAGATTATTTGTGGACAAAACTGCATTCTATATGGATCTAACGAAAATGCCATCCACTGAAATCTGTAAGTTGTGGGGTGTTTAGATAATAAGGGATTGAGTGTTTAGCATTATCTTTAGTGGGCTAGGGTTGTATGGGTGATGATATGATGCATCAATGGCCAAGCTGTAGGCATTAGTTTATGTGAACTCACAGTGTTTCAAACCAAGGATCCTAATGATGGCGAAAAAAGAAAAGGTCTTTTTGGTTATAACCTTGAATAAGGCGACACAGGAAACATCTGTTGCCACTTAATGATTCCTTTTTCTCTTGTCAACCACTGTGCTGCATGCTGTATTAGAGCATGCTCACAGTACGATAGGTTTGATTGGAGAGTAGTAATTTGTTTGTAAACTATAGATTTGCTGTTGCAAATAATTGCAATTTCTTTAGCACATTTTCCACATTTTTAATGTGGGTTTGGCATTTTACTATTTGGTTTTGGCTTGATATCATTGATTGCAATGTTATCATGTACAGAATGTATTTAAAGGAATATCTGGAGTATGGTTCCTTTTGTCTTGTGTAGGTCATTTATTTAGAGTTTTGAAGCCTTATTGAGCTGTTTTCACCCCCTGCATGGCTTCCTGTTTCTGCATTAACACAAGTCAGAATCAACTGCATTTTAATCCCAAATTAGCAAGGACAGATTATATGAATCTTTTTTCTTCCATTCCACCCATTCAATGTGATTATATAGGTGATTCTTAAATCTGAAATCGATGGATCCCCTGTCTGTCTGTTTGCTAAGCACAGAACATTATATCATTCTCTTAAGTTGTACTTGACAGGATTGGACAACTATTTTTTATATATCCTTTTACAACTGTAACTCTTTTAGATCGATTCTGGTTTGTCTCTTAGGGTGCGCTTAGTTTAGTAGAAAGTAAGAGGATGGATAGAGGTGGGTGGAAACGTGGAAAGAAAATGATTTTTGGGTGTGCTTGGTACTTGGTTGGAAAGAAAATAGGTAAGCATATAAACAAAATCCACTTGAAGTAGGAAAGAAAATCAGAGTAGTCTGAGTCAATTGTGTATATTTACAAGATCATTCATTATGTTCAAAATTTATTTTTTAATCTTAACTTGCAAAGGTCTAATGGTATTTTTATTTTATTTCCTCTCATTTTCAACCATGCTAACCAATGGTTGTAAAGAAAGTTATTTTTCCTTTTACTTCTCTTTCTTACCAAGCACACTAAAGGAAAAAAAAAGTCTTTTATATCCTTCCTTTTTTCCTTCTCTAGTTTTCCATATTTTGATATTCTTTCCATCCTACCGAGCAAAGCCTTAGTTTTCAGATTAGTTTTTGTTTCTTTTGAATTTGTATGATTCTGTGTTTTTTATGTTCAATATGTTTTATTCTCTTCTTTAGATGGGGAAAAACTTCATGCTAGAACTTTCTGATTTTTTGTTTGCAGGGTGGAATAACTTATTATTTCTTTGGGGTGTTTTCAAGGGAAGAAAGTCAGTCTGTTCAAATTCCTCAAAGATGGTGTGCAATCGTGATGCAAGTATGGTACCTTTGGAGAGTCAAATATATACCGATTGTCCTCAGCCGGCAGATAATGAATCAGCGACTTGTGACAATTCGTGCAATGTAGTCCCAGTGACCACTGCTTTCGAAAAGACATGTATCTCTACAGTTAGTGTCAGTGATAATAAGGTTTCTTCTTTTGAGCAGACATATGGTGGTATAAAAGCAAAATTGGAGGAGCAAGACGGCAAAGTTGACCCTGAATTCTTGTCTAGAATTGCAACAAGCAGCACAGAGGTACATACAAAAATGAAATGCACCAGTACTCCGGTAATGTGTTCTTTCAATATATTTTACCTAAATTACTGTCAAGTCGATGTTTCGCTATAGTTGGTTTGTTTTTTCAATTCTTGCCATTGTTTACTAACCTTGAAACCTACAATGAGCTATAGAATGTTATTAAGTGACATGTTCAAATCAACAAGAAATCAATATAATCCATTTCAAGAAAGGATCTACTTTTTTTTTTTGCTTGTCAATGTACGTGGTGCTTCAAAAGGCTTATAAATTTCAAGTTTTTCTCTGATTCTATTCAGTTTCTTAGTTTGTGGAAGCATGTTTTTGTTTCTCTTTTCTAATGATAGTCTTGTCAAAATTCATTTTTAACATTCTTTTATGTAAATTCTAAACCTTTTAAATATTTCATTGGCCCTGCTTGAAATATCAGTGTTTGCTTTTTCCCTGTTATAGCTCGCACATCATTGTAGAAGTCAACATGAAGTCAAATTCTGTGCAGTCATGGATTGCTGTTCCATCCCTGTTCTTGTGTCTCTCTCTTCATCATGAATGTTCTTACTATGATCGATAGCAGGTGTCACCTCTACTGTTATTTATTAAAGGCAAAATGCTTGCCTGTGCATGGGACCTTTTTTTTTCCCTGATGAATAACACTAGTTCGATGACAGTGTTGGTTCTTTTGTCTCATTATATGTGCATGGGTATAAATATCCTCAAAGGGAAATAGGGGAACACATAAACCTCATTAAATTGGTTAAATGCTCCATTACAACCCTGGTGCAACCCTGCACTCCTTGGTGTTTCATCTCCAATATTTTACTGTTTGCTCATTTTTCTTAACACCTTGTTAGCAATAGCTATTTACTTTTAAGACTAATATCTAGTATATTTTGAGCTATGTATTCTTAGTATCTAATATATTTTCTTTTCTGTTTGAGACTCCTTTATATTTGCCAATTTGGTTTGATTGGAGTTTAAGGGTGGTAGAGACTTTGGGTCATAAATCCAGGGAAAATGTGTTGCATCACAGTTCTACCGAGTTACTGGACTGATAATTCTGATTTTGACCTTTGTTGGAAGTGTCATTAGCGTCATTAGCGTCTGAAGTCTGTCGTACACAAGTGGGAATGGAATGTCTTGTAATAGCGAGCACTTTGTTAATTTTATTCATTTTTCTGTGAAGCAGGGAGATATGGAAGTTGGTTGAAAGAAGTGTTATTATTTAAAAGATTTCTTCAGTTTATTTACGGACGTGTGTTGAGTTTTTATTGTGTTGTTCTGAGCAGCTTCTCTTTTTGGATGGACTGAAATGTATTTTATTTATTTGACACTTCTGCCATTATTTTACAGGAAGAGAGCAAATTTCCAGGTTGTAGATCCGACCCCAATCTTAAACCTTGCCTTCAAGCTACTGAAACCAATACTGGTTCTTTCAAAGTTGAGGAGGAAATGCATATGGCAGAAGGTTATCCATCACTAAAAGATCGCCCTCCCGGAAAACCAAAGATAGTTGTTGAGGAGAAGGTTGATGGGGATTGTGTTAAAATTAGGGATTCAAAGGATAATGGGTGTGCTGCTTTTAAGACTTCTTCAAATACAGATCTCGACTGTTCCCAATATCACCCATCTCTAATAGATGTACCTACCGGAAAACAAGTGGCAGTTGTTGAGGAGAAGCCTGAGCAGGATTCTGTTAAAATTAGGGATTCAAAGGATGAGTGTGCTGATGGGAAGACTTCTTCAAAGAGAGATCTCGGGTGTTGGCAATTGAATCATCGGAAACGCCCATACATCGATCTTACAGAACCAGTTTCTGAAGTTTATACTGTTACAAGTCAAAAAATGCCATGGAGCGAGGCGACAAGAGTTCCTGTAGATAGAGGGAATGTTAATAAAAAGCTGAAGATGGGTTTCAGCGAAATATACCAATATAGCAGTGCTAGAGATCAAGTTCCTTTTAGTGATAGTTTAGCATCAGATAGACACAATCCAGGTTCTGGCTCTTCAGTCGAAGAGAAGAGATGTAACAATGCCTGTGAAGAAAAGATAATCCCCGAGGATCTGGGAAATAGTGAAGGTTTATTCTTTCCCGTGGATTCATGTCGTGCAGGGGAATACCGAGTTCATGACGTCTCTCCTAATCTTGAACTTGCTTTGGGGGCTGAGACGAGACAACCAAACAAGGGAATCCTGCCTTTCTTTGTTGGAGCAATAGACAAAAGTGACAACCAGAACAAACTGCATAATAAGGTAACCCGAAAGCAAGAGGAGGATGTATCTGCCCCCCTCTCCCTCTCCCTTTCCCTTTCTTTCCCTTTCCCGGAGAACGAACGGGATGTGAAACCCGTTCCTAAACCAGAGCAGCAGCTGCCCGAAAGGCATCCTGTGAATACTTCACTGCTACTATTTCGGGGCTTCCCGGAAAAATAGGCTCATGGTGAGTTTCTTAGGCTATTGTGTCCTACATGAATGTGGTAAAAATGTATACTATGGGCTTGCATTGGGGTTTTTTTCCGGAGAATCCACATTTCAATCTGTTCATAACCCATACAAAACTTAGCAATTAACTTCTCATCTGTTATTTTTTTGTTTCCTTTTCTCGAGTGCATAGACAGTCACGGCTGTTTGTATATAAAGAGATCGAAAGCCGGCTTACTTCGGAATGTCGACAAGAAATTTGCAAACCAATGCTCTGATCATTTGATTTTCTTCTTCTAGATCTTTTCTGTTCCTCTTTCCTCACTGAATTTCGTCGTTAGTGTTTCCACAGCAACTCCTTTGAAAGGTCTGTTAACTTTTCTTATTTTTGATGGGGGATGTTGAAATTCTCCCCTTTTGCACCATGGGATGATGACGGTTCAATTTGCTTTTATAAGAAAATTAGGGTTAGTGTGGAGTTGATGTTCTAAAAACTCGTATCGAATCGAATTTTATGAATGATTAAATCTATAATCTCTTAATTTAAGTATTCATCTATTTCTAGATTTTACTTCAATTTTTTTAAAAATGTATAAAACCATTAAAAATATTAACTTTTTTATTTTTTTATTTTTTGATATTTTAATTTGTTTTCTTAATTAACCAGTGACTAATGCCCATGTCAACCTATATAAGTAAAAGGTTACTTAAATTTGGTTGATAGTTCCTTTTTATAATGATATATATTTCCTTCTAATTTACTATATTTTATAACTTTTAATAATTTTATATTTAAAAATATTTTATTTTAATATTTTTATATTTACGCTCAGTTAACTTCTTAACATCGAATAAAATAATCAATTAAGTCATTATCACCATATAAATAATAATTAAACTATTAATATAAAAATAATTAATTATTACTGATAATGCTTTTATCATTAAACCATTTGTATTTTGGTATTAAAATGATATTATTATTTAAATTTGACATAAGATTGAAATTTTAAAATTTTATGTTTTAGGTTTGATCATATATAAATAAATTCATTAAATTTTTTATTGAAAATTTATAATTTATCTGTTATTATGTCATTGTTTAAATTTAGCTTATTTTAATTTTTTTTATAATATGAGATAATTATGGTCACATTAAATTCGAGTCTTTTTAAGAGAACAACAAATGAATCCGAATCTTCTAAAAAATAATATTTTTTTAATATGATCACTTAATAAATTTAATTGATTTTAAATTTAAATATATATGGTACGACTTAATCTCAGTGTCAACAAAAAGTGAAAAAATTACAAAATGTTTCCACGTAATTTATTCCGAAAAAATCCTCGCAAAAACTTTCCGTAGAGGGGCATACTCGTAAATAAGAAACTAAGGGTACTTTATAATCCATTCACTGGAAAAAAGAACAGAAAAATATTGCGTACTTCCCTTTGCTTTCTCTCAACTACAGCTCTCATGGCGTACTGTTTGGCTCCCGTTTCCATCTCAGGTTTTTCAATTTTAACAAGCTTTTTATTTATTTATTATTTAATTTTCATTTCTGAGTGTGATTATCATGTAACCTTAATCTTTTGAAATATTGATTGCTTCCGTCCTTTTTTTAATCATTTTATTTGAATATTTAACATGCCTTATAATTCTGTATATTTTTAGCTGATTTCTGCCTGGGGAAATAGTTTGGTTAGCGATACTGATTCTTTCTATGTTTCTTTTATCTGTATTTGGAGAATCAAATCTGTTTACTCGTGTTTGAATGTGTTGGACACTGACACTTAAGTTCGGGTAACATAGCCTTCTGCAAGTAACTTATTAAGTTGAGTTCGTCGGATGAAGTTTGAGGTTACTATTTGCTATGCCAAAGGTTCATCGAAAAAAAAAGTTAATACTTGCTCTGTTAGAGGATTAAAGTTCGTAAATAAGGGATAGAAAATACTAGAAATAGATATGGTTTAAGTTTGATATTTGATTCAATGTGTTTATTTTAGTTTGTTTATGGCATTATGTTATTGAGGTTTGAAAGTACATGAAGGATTGAAAAAGACTGTATGTAGATATGCTTCAAGTTTGTTTCGTGATTCAGAATGTTTATTTTAATTTGTTCAAGTGATTTAAGCTTGAAAGAACATGCTCTTATTGTATTTCTTGTTGGTAAGGATAACAATGTACTTCTTCTGTCACATTCTTTTTTTTATTGGAAATGCAAATTTTATGAATAGATTTTTTTTAATTAATAGTTCTCGATTGGAGTACATATGATTTTCCTTCATATTGAATTCTTATAGTTTTTGGTTCAAAATTGACAAAAAAGAGGATTCTAGGATTCAAATGCCATAAATTATGAGAAAAAGCAGCCATATACCTAACATCCAAAAATGAATTCACTGGTTTCTTTATCGTATCGACTGATCTTGGGGCATGTGATGATTGCTATTGACATGAAAAATAATGGTTTTTTGATGAGTTCTTGCTTCATGCTCAAATTACACTATTATTCCTTTCTTGGTTTATATAGCTGGTTCTCATCTCAAGGCACGTGAAGTTTGGTTCCCCAAGTCCAGCACCTTTGGGAAAAGACCAAGTCTGGCAGTTCGAAGGAAACCAATTCCATCAAAATACCAATTTTCAGTTTCTGCACAGTATCGGTATGTCTTTCTGGATTTCAGTCCACTTGAAATAAGCTTAGATGCAAATTCATGTTTCTCATAAGAGTATGCTTGTAAGGGGTAAGCCAAACCTATGATTCTGAATTATGGCTACTCAAGCCACATATCTCTAATGGTTTTGTGTTTGAACTAGATTGCTCACATGCTGTATTTTAGGATGACACACGTGACAAATCCCATGTCTTACTAAGCCTCCTTGATACGGATTTGCTAAACCAGAAATCTGTGAAATAGAATGCCCTGGAAGTTTCACAATTTTGAGACGAATATAGGGAAAACAAATTAGAAATCTGAAATTCAATTGTCAAAAACATTACAACATAAGTCACAATATCAATATCCAAGAGTCTCAGGTTCAGTAAATCCTCACTGTAGAGTTTCTCTCGTTTCATTGTTGATTTTCATTTTGAATAATGATGTAAATAGAATAATGATGTATATTGAAACATCTTCAGCAAACAATATCTTCTCAGACCCTTGTTACTACTAATACCTAATGATGTTTAAAGCTGTTGATCAGATGATTTCTCTGTAATAAATTCTCTTGATGCTGAACAACCTTATTCTATTCTCTCCATGCTTAAAACTAAAATGATTTAAAGCATAGAGCCATCTGAATTCCTCTCTGGCATTTATGTTCCACGTTTTTTTCTTTCTTTCTTTCGCCTGAATGTTCTTAGGCTGATTCTTTACTCGTAACAAGAAGGGAAAAAAAGAAGGAAAAAACTGATTATTTATTACTTTGGATGTTGTGCTATGTTTAGACTTATTTGGAGTAGGATTTTGTGAATCGCATATGTTGTTCTTGTCCTATCCATTAGTAATGCTTCTAATTTCTTCTTCTCATCTTTTGTTGTTAACCCTGATACATGCAGCGGTGGCAGCAGTGGTGGAGGAACCGATTTCGTTGCTGGTTTTCTTTTAGGAGGTGCTATATTTGGAACTTTGGGATATATTTTTGCGCCACAGGTGATTAATTGTTGCTTTCAGTTTCTAAATTTCCTGTGCCCTTTTAGTAGTGCATTTATGTTCTTGTTGAAAGAGTTGATCATCATCTTCTATTAATATTTAAAGGTATCTTAGAAAAATCAACTTAGTTCATCTGTCTTTTAACTAAATCATATTATATAGTGCTCTTCCATGCTATCTTGTCTTATCATAGAGCTTTACTTGCATTACTAGAACTATGTTATTCGGACTTGGACGTGATGTTGTGCAGAGGTAATGTTGGAATTAATATATTCAGTTTTTAAAAAGTCCTTCCATGTATTTTAAGAACTTTTGCCACATAGATGGAATGATATCTGCCGTTCTTTCTGTTCCATGAATTGTCGCCTTTTTTTCTTTCGTTATTTGAAATCTTCGTTACCAGGTTAAATCCTCCTCTCGTTTGTTGTTTTGATTCAGATTAGAAGATCCCTGCTAAACGAAGATGAATACGGATTCCGTAAGGCAAAGCAACCGATATACTATGAAGAAGGTTTAGAGGTAATTAGGGTCTACTTTTATGCTATTACGTTTTAGTGTTGCCCTGCACTCTTTATATTAATTCGGAACCTTTCTTACTTGATCGAAAGCAGAAAACCAGGGAGACCCTGAATGAAAAAATCAGCCAACTCAACGCGGCCATCGACAACGTGTCCTCACGTTTGCGAGGTGGAAATAACGCACCTACTGTTCCGGTGGAGGCCGACCCTGAAGTAGAAGCTACCATGTGAGACTCATGTTTGTTACTGCTGAGTCATCATGGTTGAGTTTCAGTGATTGAAACAGGTAGGTTCTACCATTCGTTGTTTGAAAATTACATATGGAACTATGCAGTTCTGATACTAAATTTTAACTTTGTTGCTTATTGAAACCATTGGTGTAACTAGAGCTTGTGGCAAAGCATTGTGTCATTATTTGTTATGACGTAGTCCCTAGCTTGGGTCAATAGATAGAGACAGGGATGGATCGAGGGGTGTCGTGACGTTACACCTAGATATCTTTGTATTTTTTTTAATCGATGATTTAGTTCCGTACACTCCAAAATTTTTAAACTTCACACCCTCTAAATTTCTAATATAAGTCCTTAAAAGTTTGCACTTCTAACATAAATCCTGCGTTCATCCCTAGAGATCGCAAGTGTTGGATTTGATTTCAAATCGAAGGTGTTTATAGTATTTACATTTCAAATACAAGTACCAAATAAGTAATGTTTGATGAATATAGGTACTAAATTTGCTTAAAGAAAAATAAAGGTATCAAATTTGTAAAATGGAAACATTTAAGTATCAAATTAATAACAACAAACAAATACTACTATTTTTGTAAACAATGACTAATTCATGTATATATATTAAATCAATTTAGTTATCACTTCTACCTATATGATTGTCTGACATGTGATCAATCCAAATAAACAAGCATACTGTGCATACTTTTTTTTTTATTAAATTAATGTTAATATTAATTTAATAAAATTTCAACAAAAATTAAGCTACGTAAATCATATACATCTGCAAAACTATATTAAAAAATTATCAATTTAAAAAAATAACGTTTTACCCTTTTTTCTACTAAAAGAAAATTATGTATATTTTATTTTGTTTAATCTTGTTTACAAAGTATTTATTTATATATTTTTTAATAAATATGATATTCAAATAATAAAAGATAAATTTTCGTTTTCATTTACTGTGTGTTTGAAAACCAAGTATAAAATTGACTTTAGATATAATTACACAATTGCAATATGTTTGAACAATTATAGTAAGTTGTAAATTCTGCTAAATTGATATGACTGGAAATTTTAATTCCAATTTTCAAATTTCCAAAAGTTGAAAAATTATATAATTATGTAGATGGTTATCTTTTAATTTTTTATTATTATTAGTAATAGTAGTTCACACCTTTAATTACTACTACTATTATTAGGTTAAAGTCCACTCGTAGCAGTTGTAGTACTCTAAAAATTTATTTTAGTTGTTGTATTATTAAAAGACATTTTAGTGGTATGAATTTCAGTGGCATCGGTGATAAAGAAATTGTTATTTCTTGAGATTCTGGATTTAAATATCAACAATGCTAGGAATACATGCATTTAATTAGGGATGGGTATGGGTCGGGTTTGGATCGAGTTTTGACCAATCTGACCCGACCCAAAAATTTTATATTATTCATCTGACCTGAAAAATATATACTCTCCACCCGACCCGATCATGACCTACTTTTTTGAGAGAAAATTCGAATCTGACCCTGCCCGAAATAATACAAAATATTATTTTTATTTAATAAAAACAATGATTTAATTGAATAAAATAATATATAGAAGGTATTATTGTAATTATTTCTAAATATATAAGGTAAAATTATAAAAAAAAAAAATCGGTTCGGGTCGGGTCGAATATTTTTCACTATACCCGAATCCGAACAGACCCTAACCCAATTTTTTAAAAAAACCCGACTCGATAAGGTCGGGTCGGGTAGGAACCCATCGGGTTCAGGTCCCATGCCCATCCCTACGTCTAATATCAAATGGTTAAGAATAATCTTTAAACAAATACTACATTGTACTTACCCCATTTTAATATATTAAAAAACGACATTTTAGTCTATATATTTGTTTGAAAAAGTAAGTATTTCTACGTAGAATAATTTTTATTATATTTTTATGTAGAATATTAAATCTACTTTTAGTTGAATTGAAATATAAGATTTAAATATCCTTTAATCTTTTTATCAATTTACAATTTCAATAAATTAATTATTTTAAAAGAAGAGTAATTTAAGGGTAAAATTAATATTTTATCTAAAATTTTAATGAATAAATTATTATTTTATCAAAAATTTAAAGACAAATTAATATTATTTTTGAAGTTTAAAGATCAAATTTAAATTTAAAAATTTTAATAATATATCAAATCATCAAACTAAGAATAGTTAACGGGCTGATCCATAAAAATACGGTAGATCAAAAGCAAACGTGACCAGGACATAACATTTTCAAAGTTAGTGTACAAATAAGATATAGAAAAAACTAAACGGACAGCATCCATAGTTTACCCAATAAAAATAGCCATTTAGATAATATGTTAGATTGTAGGAAAATATTCTCAAAAAAAAAATTGTAGGAAAAAAAAAGGAAAAAGAAAAATAGCGATTATCTCTCTGATTTTGATAGCTTAAAAAAATTGATTCATCAGTTATATTTGAACGTTATATATAAAATGTAAATCATTCGTAGGTAGTTTTTCTCTAAGTTCACTTTCTCTTTTGCTTGTTAAAGAAAAAGCAACTTCTTCAGCGATCTCTTCCTCTCATTCTCACCATGTCTGCTAAATCCAAGTACGTTCAGCTCAATACCTTTCTGGGTTTTCTTTTCTCTTTATGGACTTCATGCTTTGTTCCTTAATTCCTTTTATTTTGGACTTAGATCTGACTTGGGTTTCCTTAACTTTCTTTGGACTGCTTATTTTTTTAGTTCATGTGATGCTTTTATCTGTAGTAAATTCTGGGATTTTGTTTGATCTGCTCCTTGATGCTTTTAGGCTCATGCTAAGGACTTTTTTTCCCACTCAAATTCATAAATTGTTAGTTAATTTTGTTCTTTGATTCTGTTTTTGAAATGGGTTTTACTCGAATTTTAAGAATTCAAAATTTTAGGTGTTTTTTTGTTCATGTGATTCTTGTAATTTGATATTTAAAGATCTTTTTCACTCAAATTCGTAAGATTTTAGTCGATCTTGTTCTTTGATTCTCTTTTTCAAATGGGTTTTACTCAAATTTCAAGTATTAAATTCGATATAATAATTTTGTCTTGCCAAATTATCTAGAAAAAAGTTGCTATTTTTTAGATAAAATCCATCTTTAATTTGATTTGCTCGTGAATTTTGTTTATATTTCTTTGCTATTGTGTGTTTAAAGTAATGAGACTTTGACCTTATGCACAAAGTATGAGCCTTTGAACATTATATGTACAGATCAAGTTCATCTGATACTCCTACCAAGGTTTCACCAGCTACACCTAGAGTGGCAAGTAAAGTAAGCAGGGGACTGGCTAAACCGGAACCCGGTTCACCCTCCCCATTGCAAAGTGCTCGCCAGTCAGGCGATCGACCACAAAGACTATCTCTTAACTCGACGATTACAGCTGTTCGTAGATCACCAAAAGTTGCCACGCCGCCTGAAGTAAGTTATTAAGTCAATGTTGTTAAATATTATGGTATATGATCTCATCTTACGTGTTAAGTTCCTTTGGATTTGTTGATATGAGATTCGGTTATGAGGATTCTGAAGCTGTGTTGATTTTTCTTGATGTTTCCAGATAATGAGTTTTAGTTCAAGTAATATTTTGAAAAGAAAATGTGTTATCTGTCATGAAGCATTGTGTATATTTTGATGTTTGATGAGGAAAAAACAGGTTTTAGGAAAGGGAAACAAATAATCTACTGTTTCTGTTTTAATTATGAAGCTAATGGATTTTCATTTGCATTATCGGATGGTTTTGATTTTCAGAAACCGCAAACACGTGTGGGTAAGGGATTAGAGTTGCAAGCTCAGTTGAACTCGGTTCAGGAGGATTTAAAGAAAGCAAATGAGAAAATATCATTGATTGAGAAAGAGAAGGCGCAAGCTATTGATGAACTGAAAGAAGCACGGAAAGCAGCTGAAGAAGCAAATGAAAAGCTTAGAGAGGCTTTGGCTGCACAAAAGCTTGCTGAAGAGAACTCTGAGATTGAAAAGTTCCGAGCTTTAGAGTTGGAACAGGTGGAGATGGATGCTGCTCAGAAAAAAGATGAAGAATGGCAGATAGAAATCGAATCCGTTAGGAACCAGCATGCTCTGGACATGGCTGCTCTCATCTCAACAACTCAGGAGCTTCAACGGGTGAAGCAGGAACTAGCCATGACTTGTGATACGAAAAACCAAGCATTAAATCATGCTGATGATGCAACCAAGATTGCTGAAATTCATGCCGAGAAGGTGGAGATTCTCTCGGCGGAATTGGTTCGGTTGAAGTCGTTGCTTGAGTTGAAGCGCGAAAGAGAAATTAATGAAAACAATGAAATGGTGTTGAAGCACAGGGAAGAGATAGAATCGTTGAAACAAGAAGTTGAGAAAGCAAAGGCATATGAGGAGAAGTTGGTGGAAAACGAGGCATTTGTCGAACAACTTAATGTTGATCTAGAAGCTGCGAAAATGGCTGAATCGTATACACGCAATGTAGTAGATGAATGGGGAAATAGGGTTGAAAAATTAGAAATGCAGATTGAGGAAGCAAAGAATTTAGAAAGATCTACATCAGAATCTCTAAACTCAGTCATGAAGCAATTAGAAAGCAGCAATGATTCATTGCAAGATGCAGAATCTGAAATTGCTTCTCTTAAAGAGAAAGTGAGATCATTGGAAATGACGATCGGTACACAAAGAAGGGATCTTGAGGAATCAGAACACCAGATTAATACGTCTAAGGAAGAAAATGCAGAAGCGGGGAAGTTGGTTGAGTCTCTAAAATCCGAATTAGAAACAGTGAAAGAAGAAAAGAACCGGGCTTTAGATAATGAGAACCTCGCAGTTTCCCGTGTTCAAACTCTTTTAGAAGAGAAGAACAAACTCATTAATGAGTTGGAAAATTCTAAGGATGAGGAAGAGAAGAGCAAGAAAGCAATGGAAAGCTTAGCTTCAGCCTTACATGAAGTCTCTGCAGAAGCTAGGGAGGCTAAGGAGAAGCTCTTATCCTGCAAAACTGACAATGAAAAGTACGAGACCCAGTTAGAGGAGCTAAGGTTGTTCCTGAAAGCAACAGATGAGAAGTACAAAACCATGCTCGATGATGCAAAAAACGAGATTGATCTTCTTACAAATACCATTGAACAATCCAAGAACGAATACCAGAATTCCATAACCGAGTGGGAACAAAAAGAACTGCATTTAGTAGATTGTGTAAAAAAGTCGGATGAAGAAAACTCTTCTCTACAAAAAGAAATTAGTAGGTTGGTAGATTTGCTAAAACAATCTGAGGAAGAGGCTTCTGAGTCCAAGGAGGAAGAAGCTCGGTTGAAGGATAGCCTAAAGGAAGTTGAATCTAAGGTGATTTATCTGCAAGAAGCTCTAGAGGAAGTCAAGACTGAAAGCATGAAATTAAAGGATAGTTTGTTGGATAAAGAAAACGAGTTGCAGAGTGTCATTCAAGAGGCTTATGAGTCCAAGGAGGAAGAAACTCGGTTGAAGGATAGCTTAAAGGAAGTTGAATCTAAGGTGATTTATCGGCAAGAAGCTCTAGAGGAAGTCGAGACCGAGAGCATGAAATTAAAGGAGAGTTTGTTGAATAAAGAAACTGAGTTGCAGAGTGTCATTCAGGAGGCTTCTGAATCGAAGGGGGAAGAAACGGTTGAAGGATAGCCTAAAGGAAGTTGAATCTAAAGTGATTTATCTGCAAGAAGCACTAGAGGAAGTCAAGACTGAGAGCATGAAATTAAAGGGGAGTTTGTTGGATAAAGAAACTGAGTTGCAGAGTGTCATTCAGGAGGCTTCTGAGTCCAAGGAGGAAGAAACTCGGTTGAAGGATAGCCTAAAGGAAGTTGAATCTAAGGTGATTTATCTGCAAGAAGCTCTAGAGAAAGTCAAGGCTGAGAGCATGAAACTAGAGGAGAGTTTGTTGGCTAAAGAAACTGAGTTGCAGAGTGTCATTCAAGAGGCTTCTGAGTTCAAGGAGGAAGAAACTCGGTTGAAGGATGGCCTAAAGGAAGTTGAATCTAAGGTGATTATCTGCAAGAATCTCTAGAGGAAGTCAAGACTGAGAGCATGAAATTAAAGGAGAGTTTGTTGGATAAAGAAACTGAGTTGCAGAGTGTCATTCAAGAAAACAATGAACTCCGGGCTAGGGAAGTTGCTTCTCTTAAGAAAGTTGAGGAGTTGTCTAAGCTGTTAGAGGAAGCTATAATCAAAAAGCCAAGCGAGGAAAACGGTGAGCTAACTGACAGTGACAAGGACTATGATTTGCTGCCTAAGGTGGTTGAGTTCTCAGAAGAGAACGGGCATGGAAGTAAAGAAAAGCCCAAGTCATCAGAACATCCTGAGGAGTCCAAAAATGAAAACTCTCATCATGTGTATGATGACTCGAAAGATGAGGTTCTTCAAGTAGATAGTGCCAAAGTGGTGAACATGAACGGAAATGTGGTGCACGAGGCAAAAGAAAAGGAGGATTCTGTAGAGTCAGTTGATGTTGAATTTAAGATGTGGGAAAGCTGCAGAATCGAAAAGAAGGAATTTTCACCAGAAGGGGAACCTGAGCAAGAAGAATCCTTTGAGGAGGAAGTTGATTCAAAGGTGGATGCTAGTGAGTGCTTTGATCAGATAAATGGTTCAACAGAAATCGCCGATGATGGCGGAAACTCACCATCAAAGCAGCAACAACATAAAAAGAAGAAGCCTTTACTCCGTAAATTCGGGAACCTACTGAAGAAGAAGGGGAGTAGCAACCAGAAGTAAACAATGAAATCAGCCATGGCTTGACTTATCTCTACCATCAGGCAATTATGTAGGATAATATCTTGCAGCTTAATGTGTTCATTTGTTTTCCTTAACATTATCTAATAGGGTTAGTCTCTTAACATCATTTCCACTCTTAGAAGATTTTAAATTGGATTCTCCATATTTTTTACTATCCTGTGTGTGATGGAGATAGTTCTTATTTTCTTGTTCTTCTTATCTGGAATTCATGAAAAACATGCGACTGAAGCTGTATTTCAATGTGTTTTCTTTATGTTATGCAAGGAAAGTAAATGTTTTGCCTTGCACCAATTGCTGTTTTATGTCTGCATATGTTTATGTTGCGTATATATACACACACAATGAAATTGTTGCTAAATACTTATGTGATTTATGGGATTTGCAATGTATTATTGTTTTATTGTATTTAGTATTCTTTGATTAAAATAGTCTTAAAGTATCCAACTTAAAGTAATTTAGTATTATGGTATTATGAATCAATCAAGTAGTTAAAGAGGGTGTTGTAATCGCATTTTTTTTTTTGTTGTCCTTCCAGTTTCTAAGATTTTTTCTTGACTAGTTCGGATCAATTCAGGTAACACACTGTAGTGGGTGAGAGTCTCCCAACGGATTTGGGATTTTTTGCATACACACAGAGGCGGGGCTAGAGGGAGCCCAACATGAGCGACCGAACAGGGGCCCGGAATAGCAAGGGTCCCAAAAAAATTAGATTTATTACAATAAAAATCTCATTTTTTTTTGTCTAACTTCACTTTACGAGAAATGAGCTCATCTTCATGATCTTCCTATCCCACACCGTTAGGATTTGAGTTAGTAATATCATCAATCTCCCTATATATACTGCATTCAAGCTTTGCAATTTTTACCAAGGAAATTTGCAAGGTCCCCGGAATAGTAAGGGTCTCTTTTTAAGAATTTACACATGGCTTCCAACGTCTTAGCCCCGGCCTTGCATACACAAGGACTCAAACTTGAAACCTACTTAAGCGATAGCAAGTTACTCACCACTTAAACCAACCATTAGTATTAAATCGTATCATTTGAATGAGGTTATGGTAATTTATTGTGCAAGGTATTTTCGGATCATCAAACTACACATTATATATATGGATAATTATATAATATATTAATAGTATAGTTTTTAATTATATAAATAGGTTAAGAATACGTGACATATTCTTATTTAAAATAAAAAAATAAAAGACATAACAATTATTTAACTCTGCTTATAAAATTAAAATATTTTACCAATAATATTCGAAATAATTATCTTTTACATAATAAATTAAATCATGATAACATAAGAAATTTATCATTTCTTCTTCTTCTTATAATTTCGGTAGTTGTCGACACTTGTTTTTTACTTTTTAACATTTTAAAATATTAATAGTATTTTTTCTAAAAAAAGGTAATTTACAATAACGGTATTGCACTTTTAAAATACTTTTATTTTAGCTATTAAACTTTTAAAAATTGCATTATAGTCACTAAATTTCAAAATCATTTACATTTTAGTCAATCACATTAACAGTATGTGAGTACGATATTTTATTTGCAATTAACATGTCAACATGTTATATCAACTAAAATATAACTAAAATTAATATTCATAAAATTAAACAAAAAGGAAAAATACACAAAATTGATAAATGGTGGAGCTCTATTAGGGATGGGCATAAGAATCGAATCCGACAGATGTTGACCTGATCTGATTCTATTAGATAGGATTTTTTTTTTTAAAAAATTATGGTTTGGATTGGGTTGGATTCATGTTTAGGGTAAAAATATTTGATCCGAACTGATTTAAAAATGCTATAATTATAACTTATATATTTAATGATAATTATAATAATACTCCTCTCTATTTTTTAATTAGATCTTTATTTTATTAAATAAATTAATATTTTTTATAAATATATTCATTATGTTTCAAACTTGTCTTTTTTTTTTGTTAAAAAGGTAACGGTCGTCCGAGTTGGACGTTAACATGCTGATTGAGATATGATAGTTGTTTGATATTATGAGATCAGATTTTATCATATCTCAATCAGCAGGTTAGCGTCAAGATCAGACTGCAGTCAATTTTTTAAAGGAAAATGGCGAGTTTTGAATATAATGAATAGTTGAGTGATCATTTTATAACTTTTAATAGTCGAGGGACCATTTTGTATCTTAGTCAGAGGACTCAACAAAGTAGTATCCCATAGCCAGGAGACCATTTGTGTATTTTACCCTATTTTTTAAAACATAAAATCAAAGTAATTTTAGATTTTGAATTATTCTTTATCGAGCCAAGAGCACTTAAGTAAAGCCCTCCCAATTAAGATTCAATCCATTCTTTACTTGTTAATAATTAATTAAAAAGAATGATACATTGTATAATAATTATATCATATATTTTCTAATTATGTTTAAATTTTAAATCATTTTAATTCAAATCTTCAAATTATTAATATTATTTTATTCATATTCTTTCATCAATCTAACAATATATTTGAGCATTACATGCCATTTTTATATGATATAAAACATATTTAAAATATGCGAATTAAATTTTCCGTGAAAACTTATTACATGAGAGTCCAACATGAATAAGTTTCAGGGTTCCATACAGCAGGAAGAAGAAACCTATCGCCCTGGTACCCATGAGCATTGAAGCTTCCACTGGTGCTAGGGTCAATATGGACCTTGCCAGGGTTCCCGGGGAAAGCGCCGCTACCGAAGATCGCCTTGCAAACCGAGCCGGCACCGAGCGGAGCTGTTTCGGATCCGCCGTAGAAGCCTGTGTTTAGAGGGTTAGTGACCATATCGGCCAAAGTTGTCGCCAAGGCAATCACCATCGCATCGGCTGCCTTGTTCTGGCTCAGCGGTCGGAGAAAGAGAATCGACTTCGGACCATTGACGACATCATTGAAAGGCCATTCACATTTTCCGGGGCACTCGATTGCCGGATTCCCGAGTATGATGTATGGTTTATTGTTATCTATAAGTCCGTGATCGGCACATTTTCCAGAGCAAAGTCCTTCCATATCTACATCCTTCGCAGTAATTATGATGGGGATGAGGTCAGGTTGATCATGTATGTGTTCATGTACAATTTTCGGAATAAAATCCGCAATGGTCAAATTCCTCCCATACTTATACGAAGTGTCATCGACTTGTTTCGCCACATTCACAATTATTTTCGGGTTCGGGTTATGTGCTTTGGCTTCTCCTCCTCCCGGCACCATAGATTGGTAGCTCTCGATCGTCTGCCACCACCGCGTGACCTTAGGCTGGAGATCGCTGTCACCTTCTTTGTTCAAGGATGTCAGGAAGTTGACGATGGTGGTTCTCTTGAGGACATTGCACTTGCCATACCAAATGAGGGCAAAGTTTAGGGTCCCGTTGAGGATAGGGCCGCCATGATAGGTGATTTTCGGGTGCATTTTCGTTGGGTCGTTTCGGCCATAGCCGAGGGAAGGAACCAAGGAGAGGAGGATAAGGAAGGTCACTCCAACCGAGAACGAAGACATGTTTGCTTGGTGAAAAATGTTTAGGGTTCAAGATTTGGAATGTGTTCTTCAATAAAGGCTGGATTTAAAGACCCCGATATGATTCAATTCAAGTAGTTGAATTCTTGGTTGATGGTTGAGATTTTTTTAGGTAAATAACAAAATTTTAAAATTTGTTAAAATTAGTCAAATAAAATTCTATAATATCAAATGGAGGGAGAAATTCTTTAATAAAGAAGTGATATCCTTAAATATCGAGAATTCCTTAATAAAGAAGAGATTCATAGAATTATGATATTCGGATGAAAATTATGATTCATAGAGAAAGTTATTGTTAAGACGGATCAAAACTAATTCGGATGAAGCTGTAAGCAAGAGTGATAACACACCTGTGATAGGTGGGGATTTCCTATTTGACAAGGATAATGGATATTCGAATTTCCTGTCATTGACAACAAACACCCTACAGAAGTAACTACTAAAACTCGGGTTCTCTAAGAAAAATAGCACTATGTTTTTACCATTGAGGTCATTCAATGAATTCATGATTAAAACTTTTCTACAATGTGATTGAGAGGTTCAATTGCCCATGTAGTTTGAGAAGGGAATGCAGTTAATGATCGTTTGTCCCTGTTGGTTCGTGGGAAGCCAGTTGGGTGTAAATGAACAGAGTGTTCGACGAACTATTCGTAAATTGTTTGCTTAATATTTGTTTATTAAGATAAATAAACGAGTATGGATAAATTTTTTATGTTTCATCTAATAAACGAACAAACACGGATAAAAGTGTATTCAGTTCGTTTATATTAATGAGCAAACTCATTTATTGGCTCGTTTATCGACACATTTATAAGCTCGTTTGTTGGGTCATTTATAAGTTTGTTTATAGACTCATTTATAAACTCATTTATTCAATTCTCATTTTCCTTATATTTTTTTATATTTTAAAAATTGGTGAAAATGGTGACTAAATTGAACCTAAGATGAACTTTAGAGTTCAAACTGTGAAGCCTAAAGAAATTAAGGACTAATAATGTAAATTCACCATTTTTTGACTAAATAAATAAAATAGTTAAAAAAGAGTGCTAGTTATCGAACATTAAACCAACATGTTAGTCAACTTTAAATGAACTAATACGACTACAATATTGAAAATTTAAACATATACTAACTAAACACGAACACCTTCAAAATTAAACAAGCGAACATAACTTCATTCTTTGAAGCTTTATTCATTTACACCTCTAGAAGCAATTTGGTGAGCTATTGTGCGGTTCACTGCCACAAAATGTTGTTGCATACCTTAAACAAGATTAGAGACTCGAATACTGACGTCGTAAATGGATCCATAACTAATTTTTACAACACTTAATCTAGATTAATCAGTTAATAAATTGAATAATAATAATAATAATTATAAAAAAATATTATATATGAACATTTATTTGGGTCTACCAAATTTCAGTTATCAGATTGAAAAAATTTGTTGAAACCCTCACCCTTTACATTCTCCCTGGGATTTCATTATATATATATATATATATATATATATTAAAAATAAGATTTCTATTATTTTAAATCTTCAAAAATACTAAATTACACGATGGAAGTGTGAGGTAAGTTTGTTGAAGCATCTCATAAGCATGTCCCCAACAATTATACCTATAAACTAAACTCCCTTTATAAGACATCCTAAAGATCCCCATGAAAAATTTGCTCATCCCATCACCCAAAAATGACCACCAAGCCAATGGCAACAACTCCCATAATAATCACCATTCTTGCTCTCCTAATATCACTCCTGAAATCATCATCTTCGACAACTACGACCCTTTCTCCCGATGATAACCGAGACCTCCGTGTCGCGATGGAAGAGATGCAGAAAGCCAACTACTTCACCTTCGTAATGCTTCTCAGGATGTCGCCGTCGGACTCGAAGTTCCTCGCCAATGTCACTTTCTTGATGCCGAACGATCGGATGTTGTCGAAAACGGTGATCCCCGAGAACGAAGTCCACACCTTCTTGCAACGTCATTCGATCCCTTCTCAGTTGATCTTCGAGCACCTTTTGTATATCCCGACCGGTTCGATTCTCCCCAGTAATTTGCCCGAGTATGCGATGAACGTCGCAAATGGTGGTATGCGTAGAAGTTTTGTTCTCAACAACGTTAGAATCATCAGCCCGAATATATGCACCACGGGTTCCATCCGATGTCACGGCATCGATGGGGTGTTGAGTGCGGTGAGTAATGTAACTTTACATACGTGCTCCAACAACGGAGGTTTTGTAGCACCGCTTTCCTCTCCGGTGGATTCACTGCCGCCGTTACCACCACCGGCGGTCCCGATTCTTAATCCCCTTGTTGATGATTTCATGGTGCCTGCACCACAACCGGCTGGCAGCAGCCCCGGGTTTTCACAATTTTCATGGGATGAGAAAGTGTTTAAAGTGATAATTACTACTATTTTGGTACCCCTAGTGATTGGTGTTTCGATTTGAAATGAGTATTTGACGAACTTGATAGCCATAGCTTTAAGCTTAAATGTTTGAAAATTATTCATGAATATGTATCTGAGCAATATAATAGTAAGCTTTATTTCAATTTATCTTGTAACTTTTATAATAATTTTGATCATGCATATGTATATCATCACCATGCATGAACTTGGTTTAAATTTATTGTGATCAATTGTCAAAAATTACTATAAATAATTCACACAAAAAATAATAAAAAATGGATATTCCCATTTCCTCCCACATGGGTTCTCCTCCTACCACGAAACAGCTTGGAAAATGGAAAGAAAAGGGAAGAAAAAACAAAATCATCCGTAAATGTTCAGCCATCAAACGCCACCTTCTCCTTCCTGAAAGCCATTCCCTTTTTCTTAAAAAGTTTTTTTTCTGCTTGAATTTTCTCTCTCATAACCTAGAATTCATAGGTTTCTTTTAGAGAGAGAGAAAAAAAGACACCCGGTAACGAAAAAGGGGGGAAAATCTGAATCAGAAGTCGTTTTCATCGATAATTTAGAAGGATGGGTTAAGCTTTTCGACACCTTCTTTGGTAACTCAGAGATGAGGGTATTCTTTCAATCTCTCCTTTTTCTTTTATTTGTTGAGAATTTATAATTTTCTTCATGATAGGATTGTTTTAGCAGATATTATAGGTCTTTTATGCTAAAGATCTTATATTCAAGCTAGAAACTTGGTAAAAGTTTCTCTATTTTGGTTTAGTGAAATTTAGATATCTGGCATTTAGCTGAATTGTTGCGGAAGACGGCTATCGGATAGAGTAAAATCGCAACTGATAATTTGAGAAAATAAAAATGAAGATAAAAGAGACACAAAATTTACGTGGAAAACCCCTAAAATATTTAGGGTAAAAACCACGGGCAACGGTAGAAGAATTTCACTATGAGAAAATAGGAATTACAACCTCTCTCGATCTACCAAAGAGAAAACAATGATAATTCTCTCTAGATAAAAAGGAGAAAACAACTCTCAAGAAACTCTCTAAAATTTCTCTAGTATTGGAAGAAAGCTAGAATGTTTTGGGATGGTTTTGAAGCTAAATGAGCTAGGGTATTTATAGTTGAAGTCTTAAGGACTAATTTGTAAATACCCAAAATTACAATGACTAATTTTAGTAATTTTACCATATAAAAAATAATAAAATTTAAGTCATTTTTGACCATTTAGCCGCCCCACTTGGGCTGCTATGACTTTCAACAATCTCCCACTTGAAGATTTGATTGGAACAATCATATCTTCACACCATTCTTTCTACCTTGTACCATCATGTTGCTTACGTCTCTGACAGGCCACAAGAGGATCGACACCAAGTAAATTTATCAGCGCTGATTGCCTTCGTCATGAAATCTGCTATGTTGTCTTTGGTATGGATCTTCTGCATATCTATCGTTCCTTCTTCCACCTTTTCACGAATGAAATGGTACTGAACTCGTATGTGCTTTGTTCTTGAATGAAATGCTGGATTCCTTGCTAGATGCAAGGCGCTTTGACTGTCACAAAACAGATAGACATACTCTTGATTGTGCCCAAGCTCCTCCAATAGCATCTTCAACCAAATTGCTTCTTTACTGGCTTGTGTAGCTGCTACATATTCTGTTTCTGTTGTGGATGTAGCAACAATTGACTGCAATTTTGAAACCCAGCTTACAGCTCCACCAGCAACTTTGAACACATATCATGTAGTAGATTTGCTTTTATCCAAATCCCCTGCATAGTCAGAATCTACATATCCATTGATTAGTAAGTTTGATCCTCCGTAACATAATGCAACATTTGAGGTCCCTTTGATGTATCTCAGGATCCTCTTTACTGTATTCCAATTCTCTTTGCCTGGATTTGCCATGTACCGACTAACCACTCCCACTGCTTGTGCAATGTCTGGTCTAGTGCATATCATAGCGAACATTAAACTTCCCACCACCGATGCATACGACACTCGAGACATCTCCATCCTCTCTTCTTCACTGCTAGGACTCATACTGGAGGATAATTTGAAGTTAATAGGAAGAGGGGTAGATATTGGCTTACAGTCTTGCATGCTGAATCGTGACAAGATCTTCTTCAAGTAATTCTTTTGTGAAAGCCAAATCTTCCTATTACTTCTGTCTCGGTGAATTTGCATCCCTAGAATCTTGTTTGCTTATCCCAAGTCCTTCATTTCAAATTCCCTAGCCAGTTGTGCCTTTAATTCTTCAATATGATCTTTGTTGGGTCCTGCAACCAACATGTCATCCACATACAACAACAATATAACAAAATCGTTATCACCAGACCTCTTGAAATAAGCGCAAGGGTCTGCATTAAGTCTGTTGTATCCAAGGCACATTATGAAGGAATCAAATCTCTTATACCAACACCTCGGCGCCTGCTTTAGACCGTACAGAGATTTGTTTAACCTGCAAACCAAGTTCTTTTCTTCTTCTTCAAAACCTTCAGGCTTGAGCATATAAATCTCTTCTTCAAGATTTCCATGAAGAAAAGCTGTTTTAACATCTAGCTGCTCTAGATGTAAGTTCAATGTAGCACACATTGCCAAAACTACTCGAACTATTGTTAGTCGAACCACAAGAGAAAATATTTCATTGAAATCAATACCTTCTTTCTGAGCATATCCTTTGACCACCAGTCTTGCACGATACCTCTCCACTTGATCGTCACCATTTCTCTTGATTTTGAAGACTCATTTGTTACCAATTGGCTTCATTCCTTGTGGTAGTGGCACAAGGTCCCATGTATTATTTTTATAAAGGGCTTCAATTTCTTCTTGCATCGCCATCATCCATAGTGAAGCATCTGAGCTGTTTATTGCCTCCTGGTAGGTTGATGGCTCACCGTCCTCTGTTAAAAGGCAATATGCAATATTACCTTCTATAACATAATCTGAGTGCCAATTGGGACGTCTTCTCACACGATCTGATTGACGAGTTATTGGAGCTTTAGAACTCTCTAGTTCTTGTTCATCATGAGCTGGTTCTGCTTCAGAAGAATCTCCTTGTTTAAACTCCTTTTCCACATGTATATGAGTAGTCTCTGACTTTTCAACGCTAGCATCGTCTTCTTTTCTTTGTAGCTTATCTTCTACAAAGATAACATCCCTACTAATGATCACTTTGCGGGTAGTGGGATCCCACAAGTGATACCCCTTTACTCCATCAGCATACCCCAAGAATTTGCATTTCCTGGATTTTGGATCCAACTTCGAAATTTCTTGGGAGTTGTACATCACGTACACAATAATTCCAAATACATGGAGGTTTGAATAATCAGCTGGTTTACCAGTCCACATCTCCATTGGTGTCTTCAGCTCTATTGTAGTTGATGGAGCTCGATTCACCAAATAACAGGCGGTATTGACTGCTTCTGCCCAGAATGATTTTTCTAGGCCTGCATCCCTCAACATTGCTCGTGTTCTTTCTAACAAGGTTCTGTTCATCCGCTCTGCCACTCCATTTTGTTGAGGAGTGTTCGCCACCGTGAACTGTCTTTTGATGCCTTCTCTCTTGCAAAAGTCATCAAATTCTTCGCTTGTGTATTCTCCTCCATTATCTGTTCTGAAACACTTGATCTTATTTCCAAAATCAAGTTCCACCCGCGCTTTGAAGTTTTTGAAAGTTGCAAACACATCTGACTTCTTCTTAATAGGGTACACCCAACATCTCCTGGAGTAGTCATCAATAAATGAGACAAAGTATTTTACTCCGCCTAGGGATGTGACCGGTGCTTGCCATACGTCAAAGTGAACCAATTCTAGAACACTTTTGCCTCTAGAATTTGATGTGTTGAATTTCAACCGGTGCTGCTTACTTGTTATGCAGTGCTCACACAAAGTAAGTGATACCTTTGTTAAGCCTGGAAGTAGTTTTTGCTCCACAAGGACTTTCATTCCTTGTTCTGACATGTGTCCAAGTTTCTGATGCCATAGCATTGCAGAATATGAACTACATGAGGCAACAGAGGCTTCTGCTTCTAGCAAAGTTTCTCCTTTTAGCATGTACAAGTTTGTTGCTATCTTTTTGCCTTTCAGCACCACAAGCGCTCCACGGAACACCTTAATGATTCTTTCTGTGTTTCAATCTTGCTAGCATTATTATCCAACAATCCGTAGGATAATAAATTTTCTTCAGGCCTTTCACGTGCCGCACATCTCGAACAACTTTAATTGTTCCGTCATACATCTTCAATTTGATGGTTCCCACGCCAACGATCTCTAAGGCATGATCATTGCAACTATAACAGATCCTCCTGAGACAGGTTCATAATGATGGAACCATTCTCTTCTTGAGGTCATGTGATATGTTGCTCCCGAATCAATGAGTCATATATCTGCAAATCGTTTTCTTCCTTCTACAGTGATTGATGCTTCACAGCATAGAGCATCTCCATCATCTGAAGTGTTTGCGGTATTGCCTTGTGGATTGGAGTTTTATTGAGACTCCAACAATCCTTCTTCAAGTGACCCTTCTTTCCACAGTGGTAACACTTTAAATTCTTTTTGCTTCTGGACTTCGATATACCATGTTTGTGACTGCTGCTTTGGCTAGTTCTGTTGATCTCCCTCTCGTCGTTTTCAACGCTTCTGCTTGTTGCAGATTTACTTGTCTGTCTTCCTTGTTCTTGCGCCGATTTTCTTCTTGTAGAACAGCAGCTGCAACGTCATCGAAGACTAGACTGGTGACATTACTATTTGTCAAGTTGATGATGAGTTGATCATACGAATCCCGTAGACTTTGAAGTAGGAGTTCAGCACGTTCTTGTTCTCCTATTTTACAGCTTAAGGATGTAAAATGAGAAAATAAGGTGTTCAGTGTATTTAAGTGCTCTGTCACTGAAGTAGATTCTGGCATACGGAGAGTGTACAATTTCCTTTTAAGGAAAATTTTATTGTGCAACGATGTGGCCTCGTACAATTTGGTGAGATGATCCCATATCTCCTTAGCTGTCTTCTTCTCCTCGATGCTTGACAATACTTCATCTGCTAATGCTAGATGAAAGTTTGCCATAGCATTTCCGTCCATCTCGTTCCATTTGTTGTCATCTGCGAAATCCACCGGCCTTTCATTGATAGCCGCTAGACACCCGTCTTTCCTCAGGATGGCCTTCATCTTCAATTTCCACAGTGAGAAATTTCTCCCATTGAATTTTTCAATATCAAATTTCGTTGTCATAACTTCTATTACGGATAGCTCCCACTATTTCACTATCATGAATAGTTCTCTGGAACCTTCAAAGAATGGGTAATACCTTCTTACTTTCTTATGTTGAAGGATCCACCTTTTGGTGGCAACCACAAAGACAATAAGTAGATATTACACACTCTAATCTAGCTCTGATACCAATTGTTGCGGAAGACTGCTATCGGATAGAGCAAAATCGCAACTGATAATTTGAGAAAATAAATATGAAGATAAAAGAGACACAAAATTTACGTGGAAAACCCCTAAAATATTTAGGGTAAAAACCACGGGCAACGGTAGAAGAATTTCGCTATGAGAAAATAGGAATTACAACCTCTCTCGATCTACCAAGGAGAAAAATGATAATTCTCTCTAGATAAAAAGGAGAAAACAACTCTCAAGAAACTCTCTAAAATTTCTCTAGTATTGGAAGAAAGCTAGAATGCTTCGGGATGGTTTTGAAGCTAAATGAGCTAGGGTATTTATAGTTGAAGTCTTAAGGACTAATTTGTAAATACCCAAAATTACAATGACTAATTTTAGTAATTTTACCATATAAAAAATAATAAAATTTAAGTCATTTTTGACCATTTAGCCGCCCCACTTGGGCTGCTATGACTTTCAACATGAATCTTCTCGTTGCTTCTCATTAAATTCTTGTTAAATGATTTGGGTCAATCTCTGATGTAGAAATACTTGATTGTATTAAGGTTTTTGTTGCATGGATTATTTGTCAATTTTGGGCGTTTTGAACGTGTTTTTGTATGTATGAGTATCGTTCGTCTTTCGAGTCAAAAATTCGATCTTTGAGTTGTAAGCTGCGAGTGTTTTACATTTATTATGTTGTTTGGTGGAAAAGAAAATAATCTAAATGTCTTCACACTTCATTATTTGCTAAAGCTTGTTCTTTCTTGAATGAGATGAATGAAAGACACAAGTAGATGATTCGGTTGTTAATCATAACTAGAACTTAAAGTAGCTTAATTTGCCTTTGTTGTTTTCCACTCTTGGTAAGGCTCACTCAACAACAATTCACCAGTGTGAAAAACTTGGATATTTGCTCTTGGTTTTGAGTTCTATTATACAGGATGTAACAACAATAATACAGATGGATTGGTGATAATTAGTTCTCTCCTTTCGTTTTTTTCATGGTTCGGTGCCGTTCTTCATTATCGAATGAAAAGGTAGGCACATCCATCTCTCACTCTAATATATCTGTGCAGATCTACGTTGTTGACTCCTTGGATCGAGAGAGGATTGGGAAAGCTAAACATGAATTTCAGGTTGTAAATTTAGCATGTACACAAATTTGTTAGACATTTGGGCTTAACATGGTCTGAATTTTTTAATTTGTATTCTTTCAGACTATCATCAATGACCCGTTTATGCTCAACAGCGTCATCTTGGTGTTCGCCAACAAACAGGACATGGTATGTTTTCTGCAGTTGTTCTGTACCAGTGTTTATCTCTCCGTGTACATTGCAGAATGAATATGGTATCTACTAGAGGAACTATTAGAACCAAAGCATGTGATTTTGAGTAGTTCGACGTATGTTATTCATTGTTCTCATCTATATTTCCCGAGCGTTGATATGTAATGCTTTTAGCAGTCATCGTTCCATCAAACTTGTTTTCCCGAGCAGACGGAAAGGGCTAGTTTTCTTTCCCCTCGTCACATTTTTAGTTTGCCTAAATAGCTGAGACGATTACAACTGTGTTCGGTAAATATTTCCTGAGCTTGCTAGTTGTATCCGTTTGATCTGATTTTATGTTTTCTTTATTCCAGAAAGGAGCAATGACCCCTCTGGAGGTATGCGAAGGTTTAGGACTTTTTGATCTGAAGAACCGAAAATGGCACATACAAGGTACTTGTGCGCTTAGAGGAGACGGCCTCTATGAAGGCCTGGACTGGTTAGCCGGAACACTCAAGGAGATGAGAGCTGCTGGATATTCATCAACAGGTCCATCATCGTTCTAATGAATGCAGATCGGAAGTGTTTCTCTTTCCCATGTTGCGCTAAAACGAAGCCTTCAAAACGAGAAAGTAATTCTTAATGACATCGTTTCATTATTCCATATCCACTCAATAACCTGAGCTTTATTCTTTAAGTTATTACTAATCCATACACTCAAGTCTCTTTATGTAATTCAGCCATCAACTTTCATATCTGTTTCTTCATCCCAAGGGAAAGGTTCCAATGGCTTGGTTGCATCAATGAGTTCATCGATTGGAATCTTCGGCTTTGAGCGCTGCAGTGGCTTTAGATCTTGACCGTACTTTTCGGGGTCGGAGCAGTACTCCTATAAACGAAAGAAAAAGAAGTGTAATTAAGTCGAACTTGATTAGTTTACGAGTTCCGAACGAAGAAAAATGTAATATTACTTACTTGGTCTGCATGCATTTTCTTGACAAAGATCTTGAATAGCTCGAAATTGTTTTCTTTGAATAAATCATCGGATGCACGGAGATATGTGACCCCATGCATCTTTGGTTTTCCCTTCTCGGTCACACCGTTGGGCCTTGCGTTCAATAGGATCTGATTGTAAGCGTAGCTGTCGTACCTTGGCAAGGCATTCTCACCTGCAACTTCAATGTGTTCTCTCCATCCCCCACTTAAAACCTGTCATCAACCACGCGTAACATGTTTGATCCAAATTGTTCATATGATCGGTAAGTATGGAAATAAGACGAAATTTCGAGGATTCAATTAGAACATTTAGAAGTTTGTGGATGTCTAATGCACCTGTTGAACAAGTTCTTGAGGTGCACTTTTGGCTTCCGCAGGTTGCTCGGTGTCCCTCATCTCAAGACAAGTGAAGTTCAAGATAGCCTCATCATGTCTCGAGAGCATCCTCGCAATGGGACGATACCCGTCTCGATCATACAAATTATAGTACCCGGCAGTAAGCTCGGCAGCATGGCTCTCTGATTTGTACCACCAGTGAATCCCGGATACCTTAGCATGACATTCGAAAACACCGAAACATTAGATAATCCGAACTCTTTGTTTTTTCTTGAAATACACGTGTTTTCGGTCACTTACTTTGGCCGCTAACTTGAGCTTACAGCCTAGGAAAGCTTTGTTGGCCTCGTCGAGGATGTCGTCTCCATGTGTGAGTAACTTGTTGGAGTACCATGTCAAGAAGAACTTGCCTTTCTCGGAGAGGTATGTCCCATTCGGTCCGAAAAACTCCGTTGCTTCGGGCGTGTCGTTGTATTCCCCAGCGTCGTCCGGCACGTTCCATTCGGGATGACCTGCTTTTGTAGCTGCCTCTTTGAATTCTGCTTTCAGGTACTTGTCATAGCACTGCACTCCATTTTTTTTATGTTACTGATCTATAACCAGAGCTTCTAGCCCATGATCTTATACATTGTCTAAATGTGGTTCTAATCCTTCTATTATATTGAAGTTTGGATTTAAACCAACTACTTTTATAATATTAGTATTAAGTCCAAATTGATAACATTGTAAAATATAAATTGCAGTGATTAACACAATTTGACATAATTTGATACCTCTACTTCTATAATATCAACAGCAGGTCCAGATTGATAACACCATTAGCCATTGTCGTCAAGTGTGAGGCCAATTTTTTTAGGAGGGCCAAAGTGCAATTTGAACTTTAGATTAATTTATAATTTCACAATTTCCTAAGTGACCAAATGTCAATTTTCCTCCCCTTTTTGGTCCCTCTATCTTTATAATGTTAGTAATAGGTCCAAAAAAAATCTACCTGAAATTCTCCAATGCCAGGGAAAATCCACCCCTGATCTTGTGGATAAGAAGGGTATCTGAGCTCTCCAGCTGCACCAAGTCCCACTTCAATGTCAATTATGACCCCATCTTCAATCAGATCTGCCATTGCCTCCCTGAAGCTCTTCATGAAGTCCCCATAAACCTAAATTTTCATGGACAATGTCCGGTAATCACATAAATCTCGATTATATTTATTGTCGAGATAGATCAGATCTCTATATAGAAAGCAAAAGTTTAGAGATTTAATTAAGAGACAAAGGAGGTTAAAAATAAATATGCCAAAGGCATAATAATAAAAATATTCCTAAAATTTAATTAAATAGTCACTTTGACCTTTTTTTTAGCATTTTAGCCCCCCACGTTTCATTTTGGGAGTAAAAAGGCCTCTATGTGGATCGAAATCATTAGTCAACAAATATTCAATGCTCTCAAATAGGGGTCTTTATGTCCTAAAATGAAACATTAGGGGTCAATATATTCCAAAAAAAGAGAATAAGGACTAAAATGATCATTTAGTCAAATAAAAAAGGTTTTTTTTTTCGTAAAATGAAAGTTTAAAGTTAAAATACTTAAAAAATAATAATTGGGTCAAAAGAAAGGCAAATATGCCTACCCCAGTCCTTGTCTACGTACCATTTGGTTGCATTAGTCAATGATCATTTACATGAGGATAAGACAAGGACAAACCTGGACAGCGGTTCTTCCATGGAAAATATTCAGGTGATCCACTCCGAGAGTGAGGTACTCCTTATTCCGGTTACCGGCTCGATTGGTGTAGAAGATATCGGGGTCGGATTCCCCGATATCTAGAACCCATTTCGGGATAGGGATAAACACTTCATCTCCCACATTCCCGCCACATTGATGGAAGGACATGATAGCTTGTAGCTTCAACCCACATTCTTTAACCAGTTCAACCATGCTCCGATATGCACTCCAATCATATTGCTTTGGACCTTTTGCTTCCACTATCCCCCACCACACATCGGACATTACCCCGTCCATACCGGCCGTTTTCAGCTTCAACAGTTGCTTTTTCAGGCCTTCCTTGTCTGTCAGAACATCGTCACTTGAAACAATCCCCAACTGTGATTCCATTTACAAATGTTGCAGAAAGATTAGCTCCAAAACATGATCGGTAAAATTGTGGGGTTTGGTCCCTCTACTAATTTCAAATTTGGGGTTTAATCCCGTACTTTAAATAGTTAAAATGATGACACATTTTTTATATTAAAAACACCCCCTCCAATTCATGTACGAGCATGACTTTTTTGACTATATGATTAACTATTCGGATTAAACAATACAACTAATAGATAAATACACGAACCGATTCAGAACCTTACCGGGAGCATCACATAGACCGGCACATAGTTCGCCAACATCTTCTTGTCCTCCATAGTTGTTTGAGCAACCTAAGGAGACTCCCAAACCTTCAAGTAAGACACTCTCTAAAGGATTATAAGTGAAAATGGAGACTGTGGTGATCAGCACATTGAGATCATACCTCTTTTTACAGGCAAAAAGTTGCAAGGAAATTAAAAGGATCAATAATGCAATTTAACCTTGCCGGGTCCAGTCCTTTGCTTTGATTGAAAGAACCTGCAAAAATCTTCACATGGGGTCTGTGATGCTTAAAGAAGAAGACAAAAGATGATAACAGACCATGTCACATGTGCAATCATTCGTGTTTACGTTTACGTAATTATGGGGGAAAAATTAGTTATCTTTTTTTACGGATTTCCAATCGATTTTCTTCGACTAGAAAAGATTTTATTTTTTAAAAAAGATGAATGTATGTTAAGGAAAGATACGAAATTTTATATTAAGAAGCGAATTTATAAAATTGTAAGGAACGAAAATACATTATTAATAAAGAATGTAAAGAAAATATTTAAATTATATATGAAAAATTAAAATTTTCAACCAACGGACTTGATATCGCTTAAGCATGTATTAAGCTCATATCCTTGTGTATATAAAAAAAATTGTTGGAAGACTCAACCATCAGAACCAGATGTGTGACACGAATCGATTCATATTAATCACATCAAATTCTTAAAAACCGAGATACTCCTTCCCATTCTTATATATATGATAGAACGAAATAAGTATGATAAATGCTTGCTAGGTTTCGTCGCATCGCATTTATTTTCTCTAATTAGAGTAGATCTTATCTTGAAGTAGGTGGACATTCAACCCGGTTTTTAAATTTACTACTTACCCTTCTATTACTAGGGATGGGCATGAGACCCGAATCATACGGGTTCCAATCCAACCCGATCGGGTCGGGTTTTTTTAAAAATTTGGGTTCGAGTCGGGTCAAGTTCGGATTTATGGTGAAAAATACTTGATCCGACCCAAAAATATATAATTTTACCTTATATATTTAGGAATAATTGCAATAATGTCCCTCTATATATTTTTTTTCAATTAAATCAATGTTTTTATTGAATAAAAATAATATTTTTATTAATATTTCGGGTCGGGTCGAGTTTTTAAGTTATATATCGGGTGAAATCTTGTTTTGGTTGAGTCGGGTCGGTTCTCGGGTGGAGGATTTCTTGTTCTCGGGTCGGGTGGACCAAAAACCCCACCCATGCTCATCCCTATATTTTACTTTATGTATCTTTTTATAGTTTTAGTATATATATTTAATAGAATCTATTAGATGTTCTCGTTGGTAAAAGATAATGTTTTCCATAGAAGTCTTACGTTCGAACAATTTCGTCTGCAAGTGTGTACGCATTGTCAAGATTCTAAATATATATTATCTTGTAATCATTCTAGACTATTAAAAAATGAGAAAAGAAAACACGATAACAACTGATTTAGCCTCGTGTCGTTTGTAAGCTTAATCATAATTATTAATTCATGAAGAGACATCATTGTTGAAGAGAGTTCCACGTATACTTTTTAATTTTAGCACATGTTAATAATAGAACGAGATATATTCATATGTAGGGTAATGAAAGTTTATCAGAGGGGGTATGTCGACTCAGATGCCATTAGAGATTTAACGATCTAGGCTAATGAAAGTTTCTTCTAATGATGATGACTAAATGTTAACATTCTGAAAGTTGGGTGACTCAATTGCAAAGATTTTTATTTGGATGACTGAATTGATACCATCTTAAACCTGCGTGACCATTTGGATAGTTTATGCTAATTGAATAAAGTCTAAAATTACATAAATATCCTGCAAATTTGTGTTTTGAAGCACTGAAAATACATAAAATTTAGAAACTTTATAATATTTTGGGTGAACTACATTTGAGTCACTCACTTATTCTCATAGTTCCATTTTGGTCACACAACTATTTCTATTTCAAAATCATACATAACATTTCGTTTTGATTTCGTTTTGGGCACTTATTGTTAAAAATAACGATGATGTTAACGTGTCACAATAAGTAATGTCACGTCACAATTGAAAAAAATGACATGTCAATAGTTTTGTTTATTTTTTAGTGGCCCGACCTAAACAAAACCAAAACATAACGTTATGTATGATTTTGAAAAAAAAATTAATGACCAAACAAAATCACAAGAATAGGTGGGTGACTAAATACGTATCTTACCCTAATATTTTTTATGGATGGTAAAGTAAGATTGAATAACAAAGTTTTTTTTTATTAATGTTATCCAAATTTGACCTCTAACGTTAAAAAAATCTAATCTAGCATACCCAATGACGATTGGCGATTGAGTACAAGGTTAATAAAAGTATAAGGACAAGATCTTTGCAGTGATTTTTAGGGTAAAATACATAAATAATACTCTATCTATACGGGGATTTTTGTTGAGTCCCTTAACAATAAAAGTTACAAAATAGTTGTCAAATTTAAAAAGGTAACAAATTGTTCTTTTTCCGTTAAAAATCTAAAGGCATATGATGTTGCAGATAGGGATGGGTCGGGTATTTTTCACCCTAAACCTGAACCCGACTCAACCCAAACGTCACCTTTAAAAAACCTAACCCGACCCGAACCCGAAATTAAAAAACCGACCTGATTGGGTCGGGTCGGGTCGGAACCCATCGGGTTTGAGACCCATGCCCATCCCTAGTTGCATATACTAAAATTGGAAAAATAAAGATTTACCCGTCGACTTTTTAACATTGTTATAATTTGATCCTAATTCTAAAAAAATAACTCTTAATATCTTAAAGTTGCACCAATTTAATCTCTTTTCTAACAGATTTCCATCATTATTCCCTTCACCATCATCTCTCATCGTCACGTCGATCTTCGTTCCTTCATTGTCATCGAGAATCTTCATTGTTTCTCTTTTTCTTCATTTTCAATTCTGCTCTTATATTTATTGATATGAGCCATACCCTAATCAAAACCCATGAAGGTTAAAACAAGGACATATATCATAAAACATTCGAGTCGCGACAACGTGTTTCCTACTAGACAACTCAACCACAGTGCTGGGTTTTCAATTGAGTTGAAATCTTGATTTGGTGAAAGAAGATGGACTAAATTGATAGAATATTAAAGGTTGTTTTTTAAAGTTAAAATTAAATTAAAAATAAAATGTAAAATTTAAGGACTAAATATGTTATTGTGTCAACTTTTTATTAACTACCAAGTAATATCATGTTAAAAAATTAACAAAAAGGACCAATTTATTACTTTTTCAAGTCGGTGACAATTTTATAATTTTTTAGTTAGTGGACTCAACAAAAAGTATCTTATAATCAAAGGACTGTTTACATATTATACCCTTTTAATTATTACTTTAGTATTTCTCATAAAATAGTATCTGTTAAAAAAAAATTAGTTTGTTGACAACATACAAATACAACTACTCAGACTTAAATTCTTTAAAAAAATAATATTTTCTTTTTATATCGGAGATCACTTAATAAATCCATTATGTCTTCAACTTTTTACGCTTTACAAATATTAGAATAGGACAATAATTCTGGAGGTCTTTTACGGAAGCTGCTCTCAACCTGGCGTTGAGGGCAGCCTACTACCTACTCCCCCATATCCCATTACATATGGGAATATGGGTTTGACATTTTAGAATAGGACAATAATTCATGCATGACCAAGAATGGGGCAGTTCTACTGTACGGCAGATTTGGTATATGACTAATGACAGGTATTACCGGAAATGTTATTTTTTTAACATTTCAAGTAAAGCGCTACCTAAAATATTATTTTTTACCGGAAATGTTAATTTCACTAACTAATTTCTGGTAGAACCCAATATTAACATTTTCAGTAGAAAAAAAATATTTTAGGTAACGCTTTACCGAAAATATTAAACATTTTCGGTAGAGCCCAATATTAATATTTTCGGTAGAAAAAAATGTTTTGCATAACGCTTTATCAAAAATATTAAAAAAATAATAACATTTTCAATAGCTCATATCTTTAACTGTATACTAAAGATGCCACACTTAAACATCCAAAAATGGCATGATCAGAATTAATAGCAAAAATAATAGAGGCATTGCATGGGCTCGAGAATGCGTAGCAATTATGGCACATCCAATCAAAGGCTTTAAAAGCATGTGCATATATATATGCACCATGTCTGGGCCATAACGTGTCAATGTGGTAGTTGTGCATTCAATGTCTTTGTTCCAATAGAAAATAACTTTTAATTATGGAAGATAAAAATATTTGATCTCGACTCGACTTGTTTTATTTTCAAAATTAAGTTTAAGGAGGGATGCGTTAGGTTTGGTATGACTAAATTTTGGATTTAAATAATCGAATTAGGAATAACTCGCATTAATCCGACCCGAAATATTTACCAAAATGTTATTATATTTACAAAAATGTTGTCCTCTCTCTATATAAATATAATATTTAGGTTAATTATGAGTCATTTTTCCCTTAACGCCGTCGACTCTCATTTCATAATTCTCTCTGATTTTTTCACTAATCATTTTCGGTTACATTTGCTTCATTCCCCTTCTTTTCTTAATTTTAGAATCATTTTTAAAGAAATATGATAGGGATATCTTTTTTAATTTCAGATCGAGTTTGCATCCCAAATGTCAAGATGGATTCGAGGAGGGTGTAATAACATTACTTTTCGAGGTGGGTTGGAGTCGGGTCGGTCAAATATCTGACTTGTCCCGTTGCCATCTCTACTTCTAATCAATTTTTTGTTCAAGTTTATTCTTCATGTTATTGTATGAGCTATTTAATAGTGATTAATGTTGTTTGATGTCGTTTTTGACGGATCTGATCGAAGAAAGATTAGTTTAGGAGGAGACGCATAATATACGCAAAATTTAGATTGATCCATAGGACGAATTTAAAGATTGAACAAGGATAGTGGAATTATTGGATGTATATATGGAAAATCGAGGTTTATTTTGGTAGAATTGAGTCTTAACTTAGAAATATGAGGTCAAATTATGTTAGGGTGAACAACTAGTGTCTACGGTCCGCCAACTATCAACAACGAGTTTGAAGTTCAAATCATGTATGTAGGTATTTGTGATTTCGGGTTTAAAGTTTATTATTGAAGCATCTGTGAATTCTAGAATATCATGAAAGATGATTTAACTAAAAATTTGGTTGAAAATGAAATCCAGACTTCTTCGAGTTGAGATTTCGTCTATTATTATTGTTTTTCCATTACTTTTCAGTATGTTAATAATCACCATACATATGTGCATGTGTAGGATCCATATATAGATTATTTAAATCATGCTTATAAATTTTTGGATGTATAGATAAAAAATTTGAGTCTCGACTTGAAAAGATGAGATCCAAATTATGTTAAGGCGAACATTTACCATCGACCGTCCGTCAGCCATCAACAACGAGTTTGAAGTTCAAATCATGTTTGTAGGTATTTGTGATTTCGGGTTTAAAGTTTATTATCGAAGCATTTGTGAATTCCAGAATAACACGGAAGACGATTTAACTAAAAATTTTGTTGGAAATGAAACCCAGACTTTTTCGAGTTGAGATTTCGTCTACTATTATTGTTTTTCCATTACTTTTCAATATGTTAATAACCATCATACATATTTGTATGTGTAGGATACATGTATAGATTATATAAATCATGTTAATGAGTAGTGATGAATAATGATTAAATTTATATTAAATAGTAATGGCTGAGAATTTGATCCGAACTCGATCTTTTTGGGTCACGAGGCCCAAAAATATCAAATTTTGTCTCTATTAAAACTCGATTAAACCCTACAACGGACTGGTCAAATTAATTTTCATAACCCAATATGACTACAAAACCTACCAAATATTTTAATCAGTGGGCCGGTCGTTATAAATTTATTAATACAAGGAAAGAAAAATCCAGCCAGCATTGTTTTTTCCTAATTAAGGCCATTCCTAAATCCTGCATAGGTTTATTACCATAGTTAGCCCATTCTTAATTATATATATATACATATATATACATAGTTACATATTAACTAAGATCAAACAACATATTTACATAGGATTATGTATCAAGATCAGCAAATGGAAATGGAAATGGAAATGGAAATGGAAATGCAAATGGAAATGGATATGGGAAGTGAATATGAAGGAAATTCTTCTTCTTCTTCATCAGCATCATCATTCACAGATGAAACCATTGGAGAAGATGAACAACTCATTCATGAGCAAGCCAATGTTGCTGAACTTCCATTTATGTATGTCATCTATTTATGGACACCCCATTGTGTTTGTAATTATTCCGTAAATATTTTTTTAGATTCGAATTTTAATATCTAGAACTCGTTCATTTATCGTAAAATCGAGATATATTTGGTTACTTAAAACATTTGGTAACATTTTTTCATGTAATTACTTAGGCCTCAAGCAATGGAAACACCAGGTGGTGGAAATACAGTGACTGGTGCTCATAACTCGACTGAAGTTGTGATGAACAATGCCATTGAAGCCTCCAATGTGTACTGTTTTCCAACGACAAACCTCCCACCAGAGTTCCGTCTGGATTTCTCTTCTACATTTCAACTTCCTCAGGTTAATTCATTTTCTATACTTCTATATAAATTAGGTTAAACTCTCATTTTAGTCCGGGATGGATCGGAGAGGGTGGTTGGAGGCAGTCGTCTCCCCGAGAATTTCAAATTATCATATATTTTAGTATATATTCGTGTATAATATTCGTGAACCTGCCACAAACTGTATAGATGGAGCAAGGAATTTGGAGTGGATCCTCTTTGGCCAGCACAAACTGGATTAATTGGCAGCATTTTTCTCAGATAACTACTACACGTGAACCTGCTATAAATTTCGGGTATTCGTATAATATTCGTGTTGTTTTCGTATCTTAGAATTTTATTTCTCGTTTTTTTAAATATAGTAAAATAATTTCGTTCCGTGTTCGAGTTACCATTTTCTTATTTATCTCTCCGTTAAGGTAATTAGTTCAAATTTACAACAGCAGTTTTCTTTTTCTTCCATGCAGGCCACAGGGTATCGGATACCAAGCCCTATTGAATCAAGTCATTGTATCGGATAACTTTCATGTGAATGATGATGTGCCGAGGATGATGAATTGGCAAGAAGACCCAAATCTTCATTTTATGGAGTGGCTGTCATTAAGGGAAGGCAATCGACCTCAAAATGTTGGTGTATCTGGGGCTTCAAGTTCAAGGTAATTACTCATATAAGGGTCTAATCTTTGAAAAAAATCGAATAAGAATCCAACATTTTCAAGTATGTTAAAAAAGATCCAAATGAGGGTCTTTAATTATCTGCAAATATTTTCAAAAGGTTAGAAGTTTTTTATTTTGGGGGGTCAATTTAACTCAAATGTGACGAAATAGTAACGATGTTCATTTTATTGAAATGTTAGCGTTGATAATTTTGTTCTTTTTTGTTATATCACTGAAGTTCGATCGAATTTAAATAAATAAATTTGTATTCATTAAAGTTCGATTTAATCCATAAAAAAACTTCTATCCTCAGGCACAAAGCAATCGAGAACAAGGTGTACGATCCCTCATATGCAGCTATGGGATTGCCGGTTGATCCTCATCTAAGAATGTTTCAAGCAATGAATGCAAAAAGTAAGTTTTAATTTATAACAATTAGATATAATTTTAAATAATTTATTTGTTTTTCCATTCGAAAACTAACACATGCTTTGATTCTCTTTTTTAGATAACAACAACAACAATAACAACAACGACGACGATTACAGCAACAACAACGATAACAACAACAACAATAATAATAATTTGGACGAAGAAGATGAGAAGGAGAAGAAGGAAGTGGAGGAGAATAATTGATCAAATAGCATGGGATGCCATTGTTGGAGGCCTTTTGGATGATTTAATGTTTCATTATGCATTGTTTATTTAGAGCAACTTTCAAGCTTGTTGTGTGGAACTACATTTATGGTTTTGCTTGTTTTAATTTATAAGGATTTGATCTTTTCTTTTCCTTTTTTTTTAATGTTGGATATTATTAATATCACAATTTATTAATCTCATTTTAGATTTTTCTCATATTTTAGTTGAATAGAATTTTTTTTATCAATTATAATATTTTTTTTAGAATTTTATTTAACTAAGAATTCTAAAAAATTCTCACCACATGCAAATCTTTACTCTGTTTTCAAAAATCCAACCTTATTTTCTTTTTTTATTAAATTAAAGTGATTATAAAGTAGTATCTGGTCTAAGTCCCTTCAATTATTTAACGATGAATACTTAATCATCTTTACGATCACTGATATTTAACTCTAAGAATTAAGTTGAATAAAGATTTTATTTAACTGATATTTAACTCTTCTTTCTTCCTTAAATACTCATAAATTTTTTTCTCAAGCTCTACTCTTTCATAGATGGGGATGGGGTTTCTTGAAGTTAACATAAAGGTGATGGTGATTCATAACTTCTATTCTCAGTGGCAGATGTATGTGTTCTTTAGGGTGGATATGTGCTCACCTTGAAATTTGAATTTTTTTATATTAGTTATTTATTTTATTAATGATGCTTGCTATAAAATTTTATTTATACTCGTTCCATATGAAAATTTTATGTTGTTGATACATATATATTCAACCCAAAAATTATTTTTGGATTTGCTATTATCAATGACACATTCAAATAAAAGGATTAATTTCACAATCTTTATAAAATAAATCAATGAAATTAAAATTTAACCAAGAAATTTACAAAAATTACATTCTTTAATGCATACAATGTCAAGTTAGATGGAACTTTTGGAATTTATATATATTTTTTATGCAAATTAAAGGTATAAGTAAAATCAGAAACAATAAACTCACACATAAAACCAAAAAGAATATATATATAATTGTAAGGGTTACTACTCGTGTTGTGGCCTTTGTAAAGGAAAGCTCCTCCAACAATTTTGCTTCAGTTTTCAGGTGAATTGTCGTCGTTGTCACTATGCTTCTTAGCTTTCCGACGACTCTTTTTTGTGGAACCGGTCCTACGGCGTGACAAATCGGTTTCGTCCTTCGGTTTCTTTTTCTTCTTGCTACTCTTTCGATCCTTTGGTGTTTTTTCACTTGTTTTCTTTCTGCTCTTTTTTTCCCGAGAGTCACCCGTTTCGTCGACCAATTTCATGTTCTCGTTTCGGCTTTTGTCGACTGATTTGTTGGTCGTTTCGTTGCTCGAAGAAGCGCTGCCTTCGTCGTCTTCCGGATTACCCTTGGGTGCGTCGCTGCCGCTGCCCTTACGGCTCGACTCCTCTTCGCCTTCGTCGCACGACGAGTTGCTTCTCGATTTCTTACGGCTCAAGGAAACGTCTCTCCCGCTACTACTGCCTAACGAACTCAACGATCTCCTGCTACTCCTGTGGCTGACAGAGCGGTCGGATTTTAGACTTTGTTGTTGATCTAAACTTTTCTCGGCACTGCTGCTGCATGTCGACGACTTGTCATCATCTTCATCGTCATCGTCATCGTCGTCGTCATTATCGGATTCGTTATCGCTTCTCTCGTCCTCGTCCGAGTTCCCTGAAGCTTCATCGTCGTCGGAGACTTCAATCCTACCGGAGAGGGCCTTCAATTTGGATGAGACTGAAGGAGAGAGATCTTCGGGGATATTGTTTCCTTGCTTGGCGACGGAGAGGAAACTTAAGACCGAAGCTAAATCACTTATCAGTGGCCGGGCGGTAGCTTCTTCTTGCACGCACATGGCTGCCATTGCAACAGCTTGATTCAATCCTCCTTCTGGGAATTCTTTTTTCAGTGATGGATCTGCCATTTGTGGGAAATATTTTGGTTCCTTGAATATTGGTTGTGCCTGTTCCAATCACTCAATTACACCCTAATTAAAATAACGCTTAAGGCCATTCCCTACCCTTGGACATGCCCTTGATGTGAAACTTGAAGAACAAAACCCTAAATAATCCGAGACAGCTACAATAAAATTCAATCAATGTACTTACCCAATTAACTAGCATTTGCTCTTCCTCCGGTTTGGAAGTGTCCAAGGCCTTTCTGCCGGAGATAATCTCCAACAGAACAACTCCGAAGCTATAGACATCCGTATGTGCATTAACGGTACCCGAGTTGACACACTCCGGAGCATTGTAACCATTGTTTTCCCTTATCTTCGACTGCACCAGCATATTGCTCTCGGCCGGAGGCCCGAGCTTGTCGAGCCGATGTTCGACAACTTCGGGTTGAAATCGTCGTCCAACAGAACTTTTGAGGACTTGAGATCACGATATATTACAGGAGGTTTGGCCTTCTCATGCAAGTATTGTAGACCTAGAGCCGTCCCGTGTGCTATTTTCATTCTTGTTACCCAATCTAATCGCTGCTTATCTCCTGCTTGGAAAATATTAACATAAAATATCGGGTTAATTATATCATACATCCCTAAACTATAATTCTATTCAGTGATCAGTTTCATGTCAATTAAGTCCTTCCATCAACTTCGGGTATTGATTGATGCAATACCGGAGAATGATCAATCAGAATGTTTTGAAGTATAGGGATCGAACTAGACGATAGTTCGAGGATATTCGGTGAAATTAACCCGAAAATGTTGGCATGAAAATGGAAGAGAAAAACATGTACCATGGAGATGATCTTGTAAGGAACCCCCTGGCATGAATTCATAAACCAAAAGCCTCTGATCCCCATCAGCACAGTATCCAACAAGACTGACCAAATTCGCATGCTGTAGGAGACTCAGCTGCCCTACTTCCACAAAGAACTCATCGCTTCCTTCCATTGCATTCCTATCAAGTTGTTTCACAGCAACATCCTATATTTTTTGTCCAAATCAAAATAAACAGTTCATTAGAAAACATAATCCGAGCTGCGATATTCGTGTCCGACACATATCCGGATACGATATAAACATACGATCTTTCGAATATACGAAAAGTTCGGACGTAAACCGGACCTGGCCCTGAATAATTCCCTTGTAAACTTTTCCGAGACTACCTTCACCCAACAAACTTTCTTGCTTGAAATTCTTGGTGGCGGAGGCTAACTCACGGAAGTTGAATGCTTTGATCGAACTATTGTTGTCATAGTCAGCTGGGGCAGTAGTAGTAGTTGCAGTAGTAGGTGTCTCCTTGTTTTCTGTTTCTGGTTTTCATAAAAATAATTTCTTTTAAAAAACAAGGTCTAATTGCGGATTTAGTCCCTCTATTAAGCTGAAATTTATCGATGCTAACATGCGAGTAATATTATAAAAGTATAGTGATTAAATTACAATCCGTGTTATAATACAGGACTTACACAGTACTTGTGAAATTGTTTCGTTCAATGACGATAGTAAATCTAATCGCGTTCGTGTTCATTCGTATTAGTATTCATGTGGTCACTTTAAAAGGTAGTATCGAATTATTTTAGATCTTTTGTTAAAAATTAATTAGAAAAAATGACGTACCAGGTACATATTGTTGTTGAGGTTGCAGCTCTTCAACGTCGGAAACATCATGGTCCCTTTTGCTGGTGCTGTCCTTGGTTTTTTGTGAGGAGAAACAAGGGAAACAATTCATTTTATTTATTTTACCGGAATGTTAATCGGAAACGTCCCCGAACCGAAAAGAGCAAGAGATGTCGGAGAGAACGCGTCGCATTAATCCAGCTAGCTACGTGAGAAATAAAAAATAAATCGAATCGAATAGAACCAGCCGGAGATATCGGTGTTGGGGAGAAGCCTTCAACAGATTGAAGGACCCCTCTTAGGAGCAGGGGGTTTTGCAACCAAGGAAGAGAACAAATGATCATGAGAATCCATGGTTTTGGAACATAACCAAATTATAAAACCAAAAAAAAAAGACAGGAAAAATATTGTAGGTTTTGTTCCTCAAAGTTGTCGGAGAAAAAGAGGGAGAATTGAGTGGACATTTATTGAGAAAAGGATGGCCAAATATATGTAATGAGATTCAGAATTTTCTGTTGGTTTTCTTTTCCTTGCAAAACCTTTCTAACCATTTATTTTTATCTCATGGTATTGATTAAATAACATGTGAATTATGTGATGAATGTTGATGTGATATCAGAGATGGACTGAGGGGTCGACTCTTCATAAAAGTCTATAAATTTATCTTCGAACAAAAATTTTATGTTTAGTGACGTAATTGTTTTGTATAATTTTTTATCTAGACTAATAAATTTAAAATCTTGCGTTTATCTCTACCATGAAAGATACATATATTAAATTATTTCAAGAACTTGTATGACATCACGGTCCTGAAAAAAATTTAGTCCCTCCGCAAGTTGAATACTATAAACGCCTTCGTACGCGAGTCTCAGATTAAGTCAGTTTATGGCATTCCCTTAACCAAGGGAGACAAGTATTGTGCCTAGTTGCATCTCTACCACCACTCTTCCACTGGTCGAAACCTCCGGAAGAACTCTTTCGCTGATCAAGGCCTCTGATGTTCTTGGAAACCTCTAGAGTTCCATATCTTTCAGTCGATTACAATATGATGACATGACCACTAACAAGTCCATGTGATCTACCAAAGCTAAATCTATTATATGACAACCAAATCTATTTAGCCTATCAACCTACAAATAGACATCATAACCCTAAACTTGACGCCAGTACTAAGAATCAAGGTCACCAAGCATGGTCTGAGAAGGGATCTCGAATTCTCTCTCTGGTGACCTCTAAAGGGCATATTATCTTCTTCAACTCACTTGAATCCCAAACTGTGATTCTTCATCAAATCAAAATAGATGAACCGCTTATGATCTTCGACCGTGAATTATGTCAACAAATTATTATACTTTAATGACTTAGAAGTACACCATATTTGATTCATAAAACTATACTGTACAAAT